ACTCGGGCTCATGCATGCAAATAACCGTTGACACATCGATTCAATTAATATAAGGCGATTTATTTATCGCTGTACTACAATATACATATCGGCCCGAGGACACTGGGTCGTTGGCACGCTCGCGCGGCGACACGCCGAGCGCGAGGCTCAGAGGGGAACACATATACACCGGAGCTCGTGGCCCGACTCACCACTCGTAGTGCTCGATGTAGACGTTGTTGGTTGTCCTGCTGATGTTCCTCTCCTCCTGCAACACAATCAAATGTCGTGAGCCCGGGTGCCTCGTCGTCTCCTCGAATGGTGGGACGATGATCGGCTTTCTCTCTCTCGTCCGGCCGTCGAGACACACACATACACTCTCCGCGCACTCGAGCTCTCGTCGAGTTAGCCACACTCCTCACTCAGAGAGCTTAAGGTGATTACACCCGTGGTACTCGACGAAGAGTCGACCTAGACATCCAGAGAGTCACCCTGGACGCCGCACACACACACTCACTTACTCGGATCAATTTCGCACACACACGATCGCGATCAATCGATCTCGCCAGTTCGTTGGCAACTGACTTGTCGTTACTTATACGTCGTGTTGACAAGCTGCCAAACGTCCTTTCTCTTCTCATCGTTGCTCACATGAAAATATAAATACCGCGATCAAATGATTTACTATATTCAAATTATATTATTATTGGCCGACGACAACGACTACGCAGAGGCTCGCCGGGCAACCGAGCATCTGATGCACTTCCTGCATCACAGATTAATACTTAGTAAGTTAAGCACAGTTGGCTTAATAACAATTTCAGAAATTTGTACACGTTCGCTTATTTTATACAAATGGTTTACTGGCGAGCTTGATCGTGTCGATATCTCCTCGCAGCAAGAAGCTACTTCGCCGCTCCGTTCGGTAAGATGCTATTTCGGCGCCCTGTATCATAAATATTGGAAAAATCGAAGCTTTGCTATAGATTGCAATAGAATAACAGGTAAGTTCCTCTCGAAACTCCTGCCTTCATTCGAAACACCATTTTTCAGGTGGTTTTGATAGAAAGTTTCGGACGGGAATACCGAGATCTTCGATGTCATTTTATGCGTTCAGCTGAAGATTCGCCACGGGCCCATTGAAGAGGTGTCCGGCGCAATTTGTCCTTCGTATCGAACTCTACGACCTTATATCGACTGTTTCGCCGATCTTGAATATTAAATCCGCAAACGCATGGGACTGGCGTTGACGCTTGCAAGCCATAAGGAGAGGAGTCGATCCATTTCTCGCTGGCCGAATTCGGATCGCGCCTCTCTTCTCAGCAGTAATTCGACCGCCTTCCGTGTGCCCCAGCGCTTATATAGCCAAGTGCAATGGCCTGTTGCCGCCCTCGTCTCGGGCCTTGAAATCGACTTTTCGCCTTTCGACATGTTGACGGGCTCTTTTGGTCTTCTCTTAATCCCTGGTGGGGTCCAGTCACGCGGGGGAGCGCAATACGTGCTCGGTGGCCACCTACCGGCCGCGGCGGGAAGTAGGAGTTGCGAAGATGGGAGGTAAAAAAAGTCCGTGTTGGTTTAGTAAAAATATACTGCTGTTTTTCAATTTTCCAATCGACCTTTTCTCGCTAAGTTTTTATTATATTCAAACATGTCATGTCATTAGGCCATTGGTCTATTCACTTACACAAAAACAATCGATTCTCATATGAAAAAATTGTTCTTTTGCAATTTATTCGATCTTTATGAACAGAGAGTTGTTTTGAAGATTTATTTTAATAAGGTTAAAAAAAATCCCTCGAAAACAGATTAATGAAGTTAAAATTTTAAACTGATTCAAATTTGGAAGGACAATGTATAAACAGATCGATCGGTAACTTAATTATAAACAATATTACCATAAACAATTTTGAAATCGTCCCTTCACGCACTGATTATGTTTATTGTAAAAACAAATCAGTTTTAATATTGTCTTTCTCGACGAAACGAACCACAATACAGAAAGATCAATTTCACTCATTAAATTACTGTAGCATCAAAATTCATCATTTATTTTAGACACCAAAATGGACAAAAGTAAAAGAAAATCCGAGGGGTTTTTCTCGGAAAATAATTCAAGTAAACATGACATTGTTGTTTTAGGTGATAAACAATACGTTTGCAATATTTGCCAGGAGGTATTTACACTAGAATCAAGCATGATGACGCACCGAGACGCGATTCACAATCAAGAAAAAAATTTTGCATGCGACAAGTGCGAAAAGAAATTTCAGTTCCGAAGTCATTTGAGCAGACACCAAGTATCAGAACACAAAAGCCGCAATGATTTTGCATGTGACGAGTGCGAGAAGAAATTTTTGAAAAAATCAACTTTGTTGACGCACCAAAAATTGGTCCACAAAAGTCGTGAGGATTTCTCATGTGACAAGTGCGAGAGAAAATTTGAAAATAAATCAATTTTACTTAAGCATAACACAATATTTCACGAAGTTTTCAAGAATTATTTATGCGAAATATGTGCGAAAAGATTTGATACTAAACCTGGCTTGCTCTTGCATATAAAGACAATTCATGAGGTTCGCAAAGATTTCCCCTGTGATGGGCGTGAGAAAAAATTTAGAAAAAAATCAGATTTGTTCAAGCACCAAAATACCATCCATGTAGGTCGCAAAGATTACGTATGTGACACGTGCGAAAAGTCATTTGGACAAAGATCGTACTTGCTCTTACATCAAAAAACAGTTCACGAAGGTCGCAAAGATTATTCATGCGACAAATGCGAGAAAAAATTTGGACAAAAATCGTCTTTGAATTTCCACCAAAAAACAGTACACGAAGGTCGAAAGGATTATTGTTGCGATAGTTGCGAGAGGAAATTTGCACGTCAACATCATTTGCTTATGCACCAAATAAAATTTCATGAAGGTCGCAGCGATTTTACTTGCAAAAAGTGCGAGAAAAAATTTGTACAAAAATGGCATTTGCTCAGGCACCAAAGGATAGTACACGAAGGTCGCAAAGATTACGAATGTGTCAAGTGCGATAAGAAATTCGGATATAGATCGAAATTGATCAGACACCAAATGACAGTACATGAAGGTCGCAAAGATTATGCATGTGACAAGTGCGAAAGGAAATTTGGGTTCAAATCGTATTTACTATCTCACCAAAAATTAGTACACGAAGATCGGAAGGATTTTGCATGTGATAATTGCTTGAGAAAATTTGGAAGTAAATCAGGTTTGTTGAACCATCAAAGAACTTTCCACGAAGGACGTAAAGATTTCGCATGTGTCAGGTGCGAACGGAAATTCGGACAAAAACCCTCTTTGCTAATCCACTTAAAGACGGTACACGAAGGTCAGAAAGACTACTCATGCGATAAATGCGAGAAAAAATTTGCAACTAAATCAGATTTGTTGAGGCACCAGAGCATAGTTCACGAAGGTCGTAAAAATTTCGCATGTGACAAATGTGAAAAAAAATTTGGACAGAAACCACATTTGCTCAAACACCAAAGAATAATACATGAAGGTCGTAAAGATTTCGCATGTGATAAATGTGAGAAAAAATTTGGACAGAAAGCACATTTACTCAAACACCAAAGGATAATTCACGAAGGTCGTAAAGATTTTGCATGCGAAAAATGCGAACAGAAATTTGGATCAAAATGTAATTTGCTCACCCACCAAAATGCAGTACATGAAGATCACAAAGATTACGAGTGCGACAAGTGTGAGAAGAAATTTACACAAAAATCGAACTTGCTTTACCACCAAAGGGTCGTACACGAAGGTTGCAAAGATTATGCATGCGAAAAATGCGAGAGGAAATTTAGTAGTAAATCACATTTTATGAAGCATGAATGGACAGTCCATGAAGGTCGGAAAGATTACCCATGTGACAAATGTGAAAAAAAATTTGGACTGAAATCGAATTTGCTTGCACACCAGAAAATAGTTCATGATGGTCGAAGAGATTTTGCTTGTGACAATTGCGAGAGAAAATTCGGAAAAAAAGACCATTTATTTAGGCATCAAAAAACAGTACACGAAGGTTGCAAAGATTACGCTTGTGATAAGTGCGAGAAGATATTCGGACAACAAGAGAATTTATTTAGGCATCAAATGGCAGTCCACAAGGATCATTAAGATTTCTCCCGAAAAATATGTGTGAGGATATCTAGTTTCAAACCCATCGAAAAATATGAGTTTTTTTAGTGAGTAGCGTAATAATATATTTTCAAAATATTCTATTTCAAGTTCAGAAAAATTTTAATGAAGTTCTCTTAACTTCTCATTAAGAGTTATTGAAATCAAAAGCGACGATTTTTTTTGTTGACTATTGTAAATATATATCGATACTCATATAGATAATTTTCTTAAATTTCAAAAAAAAAATTGACCGCTGCGATGGAATCCAAAAGAAGCAAATCGATTTCTTCGGTTCGATTATATAGACAGTTTTCTTGAATTTTAATAAATATTGTGCCAGAATAATTGTGCCTTACCTGAACCTAATGCGATAATCAACAATTATTACACCTTTGTTTACTATCTCGAATTGTGCTTTGTTTTTTAACAAACGTGTTAACCATTAAATTATTTGATTTAAACCAATAAATATTTTCTACATTCTTTGAAATTTTTATAGAAGCTCTCCAAGTCTATAAGCCTTCTTCCTTAAGCGCCCTGAACCTGTGTTAATCATTTAATTTTTCATATTTGCTAGGGAATTTATTAAATTGGAATTAAACAATTTTTAATATTTGAATTGTTTAGCCCAGATCCTGAACAATAACGTAAAAAAAGATTATTAGGCAAATCTTTTTACAACGTTTAATATCGAAGGTTGGAAAACAACCTAAAAAAAGATCGTAGTAACACCCACTTTTACCCTATGTGTTTATAATCGAAGTCGTTAAAATCGGTCAGAAAAGAGTGTCAAGTCAGTCGTGTGTTATTGTTGTTATTGCCTATACGTATATTATGTTATTCAAAGGAGCTGCTTCTGCTACTTTGGATCGACGATTTCAATTAGGTACCAAAGTCAACGACTTATTCTCGTTCTAAGCTCGGGCCTTCTCGTATCTCCTATAAATTTTTAATTTTTAATAATCTCTATGTATCTATCGTATATAGAGTAAGTGAATAGTCGCATCGACCGCAGCAAGTGTGGTTTTCGTGAGAAGAAAAACAAACTCAAATTATTAGTGACTGTGCCAGTTGTTCTCGAGTAGGAAAAACGATAGAAATGAAAGCTCTAGATTGGAGGAGCTTGATAAGCATTGCCAGTCGAGTGAGCGAAGAGGAAAAACGGCGATTGCTCCTTGATGGCATATATCGTGTTATCCAAAATTGGCGGGGCCCATTACCAGATCTTTTAGAGATCTTTCGACCCGAAAAAATCGAGTGTCTTCTCTCGTACGCCGTAACGGACCAAGAGGGCGACGAGAAGGCAAGAATACGATTCATCAAGTTCGTGGTTGACACCGGCTACAGAGACCAGCCCAAAGTTGGCACAGACGGACAGTACGTGTTGCATCGCACCACACCGATACATCTCGTTTTGCGCGCCAAAATCGACAACTGGGATGCAACCGCGACGAACATGGCCCAGTTGCTATTTGTAATCTACAACCGATTTGATCTCAACTACATCGACGAAAGTGGATTCACTCATTTTCAGGCGGCTTGCTTTGTCCCTAATCGACAGCGACTCGTCAGGAAATTTCTCCAAAACGGTCAGAATCCTAATTTTTTGGTAAAAGGTTATTCGCTGCTACGATCGGCTCTGCGCGATGGCTCGCAGTTGGCCCCGGAGCTACTGAGAAGAGGCGCCGATCCGACTTGGCTCGATGCCGATGGATCCACTGCTCTGCACACTATTTGCCGGGATGCTCGGGTGGAATTGCTGCAGTCATTCTTCGAGGTCGTCGATTACCACGGAAAGCCAGTGCAGATCAATGTCCGCGACAGCTTGGGTAACACACCACTGCACTTGGCTGTGGAGAGCGGCAACGTGACGACGTTCGAATTACTGCTGACGAGAGGCGCCGATGTGAATTTGGTCAACGAGGAAGGATCGACACCTCTGCACTTAATTTGCCAGAGACTCGATAGCTACAGGTTCGTTGAGGTATTATTCAAGATCGCCAACGACATCGGGAAGCCAGTGTGGGTCGATGTCCCGGATAAGGAGGGTAACACAGCCCTGCACTTGGCTATACGTCACAGAAGCACGAGGACGTCCGAAATACTACTGGTAAACGGCGCCAATCCGAATCTGGCCGATAAGGATGGATATACTGCTCTGCACCTCATTACCAAGATCAGATGCTACCAAGCGATGAAGCAATTCTTTCAGATCGTCGACAAAACGCAAGAGAAGTTGCAGATCGATGCTCGGGACAACAAGGGCTGGACACCATTGCAAATGTCTGTGTGTTCGGGCAGCAGAAGGAAGTTTCAAATGCTGCTGAGAAGGGGCGCCGATCCAAATGCAATCAATCATAATGGACAGACCTTTCTGCACTTTCTTAGTAGCATAAGCTGCTATGATTTAATGCGGCAATTCTTCAAGATTACCGCCGACATGCGGCAGCCAGTGGAGATCGATGCTCGGGACACGACGGGCCGGACTCCGCTGTCCTTGGCTCTGTTCAACGCAAACACGAGGATGGCCGAAGAGCTTCTGTGGGCGGGCGCCGATCCGAATTTGGCCGATAACGAGGGATGGACTCCTCTGCACGTCATCTGCATCAAATGCAATCGGTTTTTGGAAAAGTTTTTCGAAGTCAATGCCGAGAGACAGAAACCAGTGGAGATCAATGCCAAGACCATCGATGGTAGAACACCGTTGAACTTGTTAAGGGATCGCAAACCCAGCAACTATGAGAAAACGTCGCGATATTTGGAGGCACTAGGCGCCGAGCTTGACTAACAATGAAAGATCGACTGCCAATCTGTGAATCAGCGACGATAAGCCTATCTGCCATATTTTTCGGGGCTCAGTGTTATTTAAGGTCGCATATTTTCCATATCGCTCAAATAAATGAAAAATTGTTTTTCTTTCAATTAAATTTCGTCGGAAAATGTTTTTTCTCGCCAATTTTTATTGCAACCTGTGCAATCTTTTCAATTTTCAATTTCGAAATAGAATGACTTATACGAAAAAAAAACACAACCCGAGGGGAACCAGAATCTTGAACAATGTCTAGAATGTGCAGATCAAAACATACATCAAAAATATAATTATGAGAATAAAAATAATACTACAGTGCAATCGAAAACTTGAATACGTTAAAAGAGCGCAAGTACAAAAATTTTGTTGGGTAGACGAATTTTTCTCGACTCGAGTCGAGGGAAACTCGAAATATTCTTGATTTTTTCGCTCGTTTATTTTTCGTCGTAAAAAGATAAATCAATCTCTCAGGCGGTGTTATACGGTGAAAAACTCTTTTATTCTTTGTTTCATCCTGTAGACAGGAGTGCGATACATATCGGCAAATACATACGCTCTCGATCGGCTCGTTATAAAACTGTACAAATTTATTATCTCTCGGCAGAATTACTAGCCCCTCGCACAAAAGCCAAGTGTCCTAATCATCATCGGTTTGCTTTCTTCGTCTTTCCACATGCAGCAGCACGCCGTGCTTGGGAGTCTGTACCTGTCACGAGCGCCTGCTTGGCCTGCAGCAGGCCGAAGCGCTTGCCGATGCAGTTTCTCGGGCCCGCGCCGAACTGCAGCTGCGCCGAGCCGCACCTGGCCACGACGTTCTCGCGCCTGAATCGCTCGGGATCGAATTCGCTGGGTCGCGAATAGATGTCGCTTTTTCTGAACGTTTCTGTACAATGCATTTCAATGGAATAAATATTAATTTTTTTTTTGCGCGCTCGCGTGGATCGCTTACCCGACAATACCATGTCCAGATATTCCATCGACTCGATCTTCTCGAAGGTGAAGCCTTCCGGACCGTCGGCGACCTGGTCGATCTCCCGCTGAAGCCTGCGCTGTATGTCCTGATTCATGGCGAGCTCCAGCAGAGCGTAGGTGGCCGCGGACGCGGACGTCTCGAAGCCGGCCAGGAAGAAGGCGAAGGCCTGCGCGGCCGCCTCGCTCCAACTTAGCAGATTTTGATCGTCTACGAAGTCAATTCATTTTTTTAGATACAATTCCGATGAGAAATGCTTGATATTGATAAGGACTTAACGATCAAAAATTTTAAATTTTAAATGTTTGATAATATGTATAGGCATTGACTGGTTTATTTTTAGTGATTTCTTTACTGCATAAAATTTAGACCACTTTGAGCTTCTACCGTTAGATGGCGAGTGTACCTTTATCAAAAAATCTGTAAGTGGTTTACTCGTGGCAATGTATAATATGAACGCCAATAGATATACTTTAAATTCAATTCATGTGCAAGTGTCAAAGTTAAAATAATCGTATAAGTCGATATATTTTCTAAATACTAAATAAGATGAAGTTTTGATTTCTTTACGTTATTTTTCTATGTAATTAATACTTTCTGTACTCTTTCTATATTCTAAATAGGTAGCCCAATGGTACATACAAATTTTAATTTTTAACCAATTGCACATAAATCGCAAAATCATAGAGAACGACTACTATAATTTTTCTGGCATTGCATTGAACGATTTGTGATCCGTGAAAGTATTTCCCAATTATATTTGAAAATGATCAAAAAAGATTGTGAATATAATTTTACTGTATTAGTTAAAAGGAAAAACGACGCCCAAACAATTTCGGCAATAAGTCCGTCAGAGTTATCTTAGTTTTTTTCCGGGTAGGCACCTCGCAAATTTGCAAAAGTCATCTTTACAACCGTGAAAAAAACAAGATCAAGAAAAATTATTTAAACTCACTCGATGTATTATTACAGTCACGTATGCGAATCGCTATTCTATCGTGCCTTTGGGTGCATATGTAATTATTTATGATAATCAGCTTGTGCACACATATTAGCGTGTAAATTACGCACTGGTTAATGATCTCGTCTGATCTCTGTCTGGTTTGGGCTCGCTTCGTCTGCAGGTGAATAATTATGTCTCGCTTATTCGAGATAATGATGCTCTATACACACACGCGCGCATCATACAGACATTTTTTGGGAATTCCTCCCAAGACTGTCTGTAAAATTTACCTTTAAATTACCAACAACAATCGTTTATTATTTGATAACCACTTGATTTTTGATAGGACATTTTTCATGTCCACAGCTCACCCTACTCTTACATCTTAAATTCATTAGACATCAGCGAATACAACACTATTCAAACTCACAGGATTAAAAAAAAATTCAAATGACAATTTTGGAATTCTTCGTTTATATCTCAAACAATTTATTGTATTTTTTTCCAAATTAAAATCAATACATTTTTTAACAATAACACTCAATATTACATAGATATTTACAATTGCACAATAGATGGGCGATAGATAACTTATCGCGAAAACTTCCCTTTTCTATCTTGTACGTTGCGGGATGATTTAAAATTTTTAAGAGGTCGCGTATCGGAGTTAGTTCGAGAACTCAATTCTGGTACAAACGGCAATCCAAACGATTTGGCTACTTTAGCTAAATCCAATGTATTTCTGTTAAAAACATGTTTGTAACGATGTGACTCGTAGGATCGTATGTACGATCTGAAAGCTTTTTGTGCCAATCCTTTGAAGAACGGGTTTTTCAGAACTTTCTCTTCGAACTGGAATAATTTATTTTTTGTTATCAATTGCTCTAATGATTTCATTTTTTGAAAGTCAATTTATTCTACTTACCAGAGCTTGATAATGAGGTATCTTTTTTCCTTGTGAAAATTCAAATTCATTTATGGGGATTTTGGCTCGTTTTAAATATTTCAAAAATCCGAGCTCTTCAGGACGGAGAAACAATATTGCGTTACCAGTACTGCCTTCACCTCGAGCAGTTCTACCTACTCTGTGAATATATTCCTTAAGGAATAAATAAAAATAAATTTTTCAAGTTAAAATTTGATACATTTGTTATATAATAATTCTTTTAATGATACATACTTCTGGTTCCTGTGGGGGATCATATTGAACAATCCAATCCACATTTGGAATGTCGTGTCCTCTTGCTCCAACATCAGTACACAGTAAAATGCCAGATGATGCTTTGCAGAATTTCTTTAATGATTTAGTACGGTCAGCTTGTGTTTGGTTTCCCTATGAAAATAAATAATATTTATTTGATGGCTAATCATTCACAGAATCATTTAAGCAACTTAAAATTGTTTCTTACATGCCATTCTATGACTGGTAAATCGATGTTGAAGAAAAATTTGTAATAAAACTCCACAGCTATACACGAACTGAAAAATACCATCACTTTTTCTTCTTTTCTCCTTTTTTCTCTCAAGAATGTAAGTAACGTGCCAAATCTTTTTTCTGTGGGGCATTCAATGTAACCTTGTTCTAGACCTTCATTTGTAGCTTCAACTTTATTATCGTGTACACCAATGTAAATTGGTGATGCTTTCAATACGAGTGTTCCTAAAGCCACTGTTTTTTCATTTTGGGTGGCGCTGAATAACATAGTTTGTCTCTCTTCTAAAATGAAATATTAATATTACTTTAAGTCTTCAATCCAAATTTTAATCATCTATAGGAACCTGTAACTTACTTGGAAGAATATTGATGATTTGTTTCAATTCTTTTTCAAATCCATCATCCAAAATTCTATCAGCTTCATCGATAATTAAACACCGAAGACGTGCAAAGTAAAAATCTTTAGTACTTTGTAAATGGTAAAGTAAACGACCAGGTGTTGCAACAACTATGTTCTTTCCTCTTTTCAGCTGTTCAACTTCATCCAGGGTAGTACGTGAGCCACCCGTTAAAAGACAGCAAGTATGTTTGTGGTTTGTTGCCATCAATTTTTTCAATACTTCAAAAGTTTGCATCGACAGCTCGCGAGTGGGAGAAATGATTATGCATCCAGTACCTGAAAATGAACACAAACTGTAGAATTACAAAAACAACCAAAAATTAATGATTTAATGATCCACTCTTTCTTACCATTATAATGTTTGAATTTAGCTTTGCGAATTAGCTCCACAGCTGGAATGAGAAAAGCCAAAGTTTTTCCTGAACCCGTTTGAGCACTTCCTATCAAATCATGTCCATCCAATAATGGAGGTATTGCTGCAGCTTGAATGGCAGTCATTTTTGTAAATCCCATCTCTGCGATTGCTTTTAAAGTATCCTCCGATACCTTATCCTTCAATGATGAAAAGGATCTATCATCTTCTGATTTTTTGTGCGCGTCAGACATGGTGAAAAACTATCTGTCGTACGGTACTATAATTCAATACACAAACTTCAATGCAACGATTTGTTTACTACTTGTCCCACGTGTTTTTCCGCACTGTACGCTTGACGAAGCAGTCGACGCCGTGTATGCGATTGAGGAGTGCGTTTCGCGCTCCCTCTGGCTTATAGATATGCAACTTAATGCCCCGCTAAATTCGAATGTCTTTCCACAAATATTACATGCGTGTCTGACACCGTTGTGTAAAGTGATCGATGTGTTTTTTGAGATTGTGCTCGAACAAGATATTCTTTCCGCAAATATCACATCCATGTTTGATACCATTATGCATTGCATTAAAGTGGACTTTGAGCTTACATTTTGACTTTCCGCATCTATTGCATGTATAAGTCATACCATTAATTTTATTAATTTTATCTATCTTTTCTCCGTGATTTTTATGATAAGATTTAAATTGTCATCATTTGGAATAAAGAGCACAGGTTTTTAATTTTTATATAGAAAAATTGCTTTTTCTATACACACGTTTAGCACGGTTACTAGTTCGCAATCCATTTCTTTTTATAACGCGTTTGATTATAACTTATAAGTTTTAACCGATGTTAATGGCAAAGTGTCTACTGAGTAAAGAAACATTCGGTTAGAAACGGCCGTTAGAAACGCGTTTAAATGGATTGCGAACTAGTAACCGTATAGCTGAAAATTTAGTAATTCGGCTAAGAGTCCTCTAAAAAACGTATTTCCTCATCACGTCATTATTTACAATGTTCTAAGAAACCTACTTACTAGACTAACGCCGTTTACTAGAGCTACCTGCTACAAACGAAATTTAACCCAAAATTACCTTCGAACACATACATACGATACATGTGTGTGTACGCGAATATTTGACGTATGTATGTATCGACGTGTTTGCGCTCGAGGTGTAGATAGATACACTATATAGATTCTTCTTGTAGCAAGCATAACTTTTCATGTTATCTTTTTTTATCGATATCGGATAAAGTTCAGGCGTGATTTTGATTAATTATGATTAAATCATGATTATCCAGAATTTTATTAATTTAAATAAATAAAATAATTTAAATAGATAATAACACAATTAACGATGTTATCGAGTCTAAAAGTTTTTCCACGTGCATTGAATTAAAGTGACATTCGAGTGAATTGGTCAACGGCAAACATAAAATACAAATTATTTTAATTTTTGAAATTAAAGCGTAGCGTAAAGCGATCTGAAAGCTGCGACGTAAGAAAATGATGTTTTTATAACCTGAAATTAAATTTTTATAATAAATCGTGACTTTTCAAAATGAAAGTATGTGTTCGATGACCCATGATAACCACCCTTTCCAGTACACTGTGCGTAGTTTAATTTGATAATATTAAAAATGTTAAACACAACGAAGTATCGGTCGATGCTTATATCTAACTGTCTACTATTGTTTTTGAATTTCTACTTTGCTGAGTTTGTATGTTTTTTTTTCTTAACCATATAGAACGACTCACACTGTACTCGATGTGGTGTTCATGTGCGCGCAGTCAATGAGTTAATGTATCTTACTGCACTGCAAGTTTCGAAATTTAAGTCGATGATTGTCCCAGCCGTTAATACCATAATTTTCTGCATTCGTAATAAAAGCAATACTATAAAAAGTCTCGCTCTTGGTGGATAATCATACCAATCGATGCAATAACTACGCAAACATTTTTTTCATAAATTTTAATGTAGTAATTTTAATTTGTTCATTAAGAAAGTATTTTGAGCTTCTAACAAGAATGTTACCTTTCAAGAAACATGTTATAGCTGGCATTATATAGAAATTGACTTGGAGTACACATAATTATCAATGCTACTAGTGCACCGCAATATACTGCCATCATTTTTGCAGCTAACATAAAATCGGAATTGATTGACAACACTGCCTAAATTATTGAGACAAATAAAATCATAAATACGATAGGTTTGATTCTGTTTTTTCCTAAATCTGATGTATAACAAATCAAACAAAAAATTATTATTATTAACCATTATGGCTACTTTCTGAATAACAGAAAATTATAATAAGTGTCTAATCATATCGAATTGAAATGTTTGCAATCGAGCTTAGACTCGAAAAGAAACTTAATTATTTACTTTACGATTATCATCATGGCATGATTCAAAAGACATTAAAACATTGATAAAAATATAATATCTTTGATCATTACCGAAGTCCCACTTATAACGAGAACAACCGTTGCACCGAGAAGCGACACGAACATCATTTGATTGGACATGCTCTGTTGTAAGTTGTCAAGTCTGTAAAACACATTACAGTATCCCATTATCACAAGAATATCATAATTTTATTGACTTGAAAATTACTCACTCGATACATTGATAATGTTTTTTAATTATTTGTTTTAATCTTTTTATAAGGAAATTACAAGCCTTTTTTTTGTTTTCACGAAATTTGTAATATCCATTATCAGTTTCTCTTAAATAGTACCTGATATGCAAAATTGAATATTATGAAAATAGTGACTATAAAAACATTGTTCTATATAAGAATTCAATTTCCTCACGCACTGCATGTATTGAAATTGGCCTACAATGACTCCAATAACTGTGCATTGTAAAAGATTCAGTACTAAAATGATACAAACCAAGTGACTTATAGATATTAACTGGAGCGCATAAAAAGAACCAAAGTATTTATCCGTGTTCACGTGAAAATCATAAAGAAGTGGCAAAGTTTTTTGAAATGTTTGATTTCCTGGCATTATCCACGAGCCCAAAATTGGAACGAGTAATGGAGCAGTACCAAAGAACATACCCATTGGTATGAACAGAACTAAAAAAAATATTTCAAGTTTATTCTCGGTTTAAATAGTCCGAACAAACAGAATCATTAACTTGTTATTATAGAAACGTTGTCCATTGTTTTTTCCAACATATTATCAACCATTTTTTGACCTAATAAATTATCACTTCTACGAATTTTTGCCATTATACTCCAATACATGATTATCTAGAAAATGCAAAGTAACAGGTATTTATTATTACCCAATCGTATAAAGAAATAATGATAATAGTAATAATAGTAAACCTTTTTGTAGTGTACAGAAACGTAGGTATAATCAAACACTATCATGAATCCGGTAACTATTTGAAATAAACTTTCAGCAGAACGTATGTCAAGTCCTTTTTCTTTCGTATCTTCAATAAACTTCACAATCTGAAGAAAAAAGAATAAACAATCTTAAATTCTAAAAATAATACGATGGTTACTTTAATTGATATATACTACGCCAAGCAGTTGTGTCCCTATCCACAATACCACGAATGATCTGCCGATCAAACCCACATTTTTATTTTGAAATAAGTACATGAAACTGACTTTTAATATTTTTAATTGAAACGAAGCCTTGGACTTCAGAAATTCGCCGTACCAATTGCCATCTTCTTCAAGTTCTTCAACTTGAATAGCCATGTTCGATGTACACGATTAAACTGAAAAATAATTTTTCAGTACCATGTTACTTTGCCAGTGTAACGTGATTTTTCTACTAATGCATTTTTTATGAGAATACACAAGTCTAAGAAATTTCTTTGAATATGTTCTTTTGTTTTTATTTTATAAAAGACAAGTTGTACTTATCGTTTACTTACTACGACTTTGGATCACTGTTTATCAATAATTTTCAAACAAGCCAGGGGTTTAAAATTTTTAACGAAGAAAAAAACTGCAATTGTATTCATGATTTTCAACGCTTTTTTTCAATATTTATTACAAAACATTTCTACACTTGGTTAAACTTACACGTCTAAGATTTATACATTTGAAATTTACTTATACACAACTAAATTATGCAAGAATAAGTTTTACACGAGTGTAATAGTATATTACTGTGCTAGACCGGTAAGCTATTTTACATACCAGCGGCTCGAAAGTAGCATTTCCCGGCCGCTACGCTAAACGGGATATTGCTATTTTCGGGCCCGGGGTCTAGCCGAAAAACCGATTTTCCTAATTTCAAAGAGCCGAATTGTTTAAATTCCAATCGACTCAACTGTGGCATTTGTTATTACTTCATTCCTATCATCGAATCCTAACGAATCCCGGTGAGAAACGCCGGTCGCGTTTTTTTTTCACGTTCAAAATTAATTTGACTGGACTAATTGTTTACTTTGCGAATGGAATGCATGGCTTTCTGCCTCTGAATATTGACGGTGCCATGTGATAGCGCTGCGTTACACTTTGCATAAAAAACTCAATTATATTACAAATCATATCGTAAGAAATCAGACGTATCAATGTAAACGAAGTGAAATTAAATTATTAAAATTTCATTATAGAGGAAATTATACTAGTGGCAACCACAGTTGCAAAATGCTGAGCGACTGAATGGTAAATAATGAAATAGCATACGACATCATTATAATAGTTGTTTCAGCCGTATGAAATTAATAATAGTAGCTTCAATGAGTATCATAATAAATCAATGTTACAATGAGTTTTTTGTGCCAGCTAATTTGGTAAAGCCGTTAAAATTATTATTGGTATAATTGGAAGTATAACACAAAAATAGGGCGTATTTTTTTGTTTGGTGTTCCCTACATGTACATTAGTATAGGTATATATGAATACAGGTTTTCGTAATTCGCACGTACGAAATAGATTTCACTTATCGATGTTTTGTGCTCAGCGTGTATTGACAACGTTGCGACCAAAGGAATTGGCACATGGCATGCCAACACATATAGAGCTGCATGTACGCGTTAAGCTGGCCCGGTGTGCCCACGTGACAATATATATAGATATATATTTGACTACATGACTAACCATGCATATTTATCACACATAGATTACATAGATGTACGATATTCGCTAGTTGTGTAAAAATGGTAAATGATATAGATGCGACTGTAGTCACGCATTCGGCGTTAGTGTAATATAAAAATGTATATAAACCCTTCATTCGCTCACGTTAACTTTGTTTCATATTTTGCGCGTCGAAAAAAATTATGCGAAAAGGAGTATAGGACACATCATAAGTTCATTTTCAATAATTTATAATTTCTTTGTAATAAGATACAATTCAAAGAAAATGGCTAATTGTTTATTACGAGATCAATAGTATAATTTCTCCAATAATAAATGATAAGTTTAGAGTGTCTCTGTTGACATAAATTTTCTCAAACTTTCATTTCACGATTTGTAAATATTATTACACTTATGTTACCTAGCTCGATGTGTAACATCATTACAAAACAATTAGTCGTTGATCAAGTTCCGAGTGATAAACATGGACTTCAGTGATGTATATAACTCTGATGTCAGGTAATTTTTGTTTCGTGAAAATGAAATTTAAAAAAAAATGGCATAACACTTTATATTATTGGAAATATTACAGAGTGAAGAAGGAACCAGATGATGTTTCCCCAATTAAAAATGAAGATTATAAGATAATTGACAATGCATGCGATGCTAAAAACGACGAATTCTCGAGTTTTTGTCGAGAAAATTTAGTAAGTGTTGATGTGGGACTGTTTAGTCAATATTTTGATCAAGTATTTTTACTAATTTCATTTCCAGATTTATGGGCTTCGTGAAAATGATGAAAATTCTGGACCTAATAACGATTTGGAAATAGAATTCGAATGTAAGGACGAGAAGCTCGGAATTAACTTATTAGTAGTCAAGAAAATCGAGGACGATTATCCAGATCAATGGCAGCATATGAAAAATAGTTGCGATTATCAGACTCAAAAGAAAATTAAAGAAGAAATGGTCGACGAAGTAAAAGAGGAATTGAATTTGGATGGTGAACTCAGTGATGCATTTGATGCAAATGAAGAAACATTTGCTCAAAATAGTCAACGCAAAACCCAAACTGATAAGGCACGCAATCGTACCAAATATCCATGTAATATATGCAGTAAAAAATTTGCACGAAAAGGTTATCTCAAGGTCCACATCGATTCAGTACATAATGGTGTTAAACATGCGTGTGGTGTATGTGGAAAGACATTCAAATACAAAGGTCCTCTCAAAATCCACATCGATTCAGTACATAATGGTGTTAAACATACGTGTGGTATATGTGCAAAGATATTCGCACACAAAGGACATCTCAAAATTCACATCGATGCGATGCATAATGGTATGGCACCTACTTGCGAAGTATGCGGGAAGAAATTCGTAACTGAAGCTGCACTCAAGACTCACATCGATGCACACAATGGTGTTGAACATCCATGTAATATATGCGGTAAAAAATTTGCACGAAAAAGTTATCTCAAGGTCCACATCGATTCAGTACATAATGGTGTTAAACATGCGTGTGGTGTATGTGGAAAGTCTTTCCCACAAAAATGTTATCTCAAAAGTCACATCGATGCGATGCATAATGGTATGGCCCCTACTTGCGAAGTATGCGGAAAGAAATTTCAAACGAAGGATAAACTCAAGATTCACATCGATGGAGTACATAATGGTGTTAGACATGCGTGTGGTATATGTGAAAAGACATTCACACAAAAAGGAGATCTCAAGAGGCATATCGAGCGACATAATGGTGTTAAACATACGTGTGGTATATGTGAAAAGATATTCACACAAAAAGGACATCTCAAAATTCACATCAATGCGATGCATAATGGTATGGCACCTACTTGCGAAATATGCGGAAAGAAATTTCAAACGAAGGATAAACTCAAGATCCATATCGATGGCGTACATAATGGTGTTAAACATCCATGTAATATATGCGGTCAAAAATTTTCACGAAAAGGTAATCTCAAGGTCCACATCGATTCAGTACATAATGGTGTTAAACATGCGTGTGGTGTATGTGGAAAGTCTTTCCCACAAAAAGGTTATCTCAAAAGTCACATCGATGCGATGCATAAAGGTATGACACCTACTTGCGAAGTGTAAAAGACATTCACACTAAAGGGTAATCTTAAAAAACACATGAATTTGATGCATAATAAGACCACTTATTGTAATAAGTGCGGCAAGACATTTTCTCAAAAGGATCGTCTTATAAGTCACATTAAAGCGCAGCACGAAGACATTGATCACGCTTGTGTTTTATGAGGAAAAAAATTTAAACATAGAAAATATTTATGCAGACACGTCAAAAGTGTGCATGAAGGCAATACCCAAGCACGAGATCAATACAAATGATCTTAAAACGTACCTATCAATACCGCGCCAAATGATGAAATATCGAGACAAATAAATAAATTAACAAATCATAAATTAATATATACTTATTTATTATCATATAATGAATAAACATATCATACATTTTTACTCAGTAGTGATACTCAAAACATGACATATAATATAATTGTCATCGGTACAATGTTAACTGAAACACGACATAATTATACTATATATCACAATCATGTTATGCTCAGTATAGTTGTACTCAAAACACGACTTATAATATACTTATCATAAGTACAATGTTAAATACCGATACACAAGTAAGACTGATCGCAAACAAAAATTACGTTTTTTCGAAGTGGAGATGTCGCGAGGTGCAAAACTCAAAATTGCATAAAAAGGCATTTTTTATATATTAGGATATACAGATGTCGCTAAAAAAGTGTACAGCACTCCATCAGCACCAAAACAATGCTATTTTAAATTTTTAGATTGATTGGTTTATCCCTGCATGAGTTATCGCAGTTAGAGTAAAACATCGAAAATTAGCAATATCGAATGTGTACGACTTTGCTGCGCTCAGCATCAATTATATGACACAAATTTAATAAAAATTAAACTTTTTCCTTTTCAATGAATATTATTACGAAAAAATTAAAAAAAAAAGATTATGTGACACAAAGAACGATCTACTATATGATAAATTGTTGATAGTACTTAATAAAATATAATGCTGATGGTGTCAAGTATTTTTAGGGGTTATTCTTTGGTAAAATCTATGGGCTATCAAATTCCTGTCAATTCTTTTTCTTATAATCAATGATTGAATTACAATTTTTTGCCATACAGAATAAGATATAGACAGCAAAAAGTTGTCTATATTTTAATGTAAATTGAATTTTTCATTTAGCGACTCAAAACACACAAGCTTGATTAATGAAGGCAGCTAGGATTTATAAATGTTTGTCTGTGGTTCAATTTTTTTTATTTTTTATTTTCTATTACAAACAATGAAATCTAATTAACTTGTCTCAGTGGACTGAATTTCTTAGTCAATAACTCGAACGTCCTGTTTCCCAGGACCCTAATGTTCTTGACCAGATCTCCATTATCGTCGAACCATCCCAAAAACCAATCCTTCGTCTGTTCCGGCGGGTAGTAGGCCAACAGTCTTTGGTTCAGGCACAATTGCCAGTCGCAGTGATCGGGATAATCTGCGAAATTTTCGATTTTTTTCAAACGTTACGAAATCGTACGAAATAGCAAGTGTATTACAGAACCCATGAGCTTACCTTTCGTGCATCCGTAAAAAGTCTCGGACAAAACCTCTACGAGGGGAAAATCGCTGGCAGCAATTTCATCCGCGAAAGTCTTCTCGATGAGTGGTATGTTCAATGTGCCGTTGTCGTAAACCTGTTGGGTACAATATGAGCAAAAAAAAAAACAGTTTGTTTGGTTTCGTAAATTTTACAACTATAAATTTACCAGTTCGCTGATTACGAGGCTGCAAGCCAAGAAGCAGGAAGTCAACTGGGTCGCGTTGTGATCGACGCTCGAATCGCCTAGAATGAATTCATTTGATCGTTATACGAATGAAAATACATCGGGAAAGTCGAATCGAAAAGTGCAATGGACACTGACTTATATTCCTGCCGTAGCCACCGACGATGCATTCCAAAAACTTCTCCTCTGTTTCCTTATCATCGTAATCATCGGCTTCCGAGGACTGAGCCTGTTATGAAATATTTAAAAAGTCAACGATATATCCATAAGCACTTTTTTCAATTCAAATTCACGAGTCGACTGATTACTCACCGAAACGGCTACGAGAAACAGGGCAAAGATGAAGATCAAACCCTTCATGTTGTACAAAATCGGTTTGACACTCGAACCGCGATCGAACGATACTATACTGTCAGCGAGAGGTCGGCTTAGCGCATTTTTATACGTAAGAGAAAAAAAATTATCGCTCGCTTAGCTGGTAATAAAATAATACAGCCAAAATATTTGTTCAAACGTTACTCAATAATTTTTTGCATAGTGTTTGCTCCAGATTAGATTGTGTCTATGTGAGATCATTTTCATGAATAAGTAAAACAATAATAAAAACAAACATAAACGTAATTTGAGCAAATGATTTATAAATCAACAAATAAAGCGTATGACTGTAGCGATGGTCTTGTGAATCATATTGCTCTTGGATTAAGAAGAAACGAATTAATTGACGAATTTACTATACATTCCAAGTTTGCACTTCGGATGCGATTCGTATTCAATTAGAATTTATAAAAGTTGGACTATTATGTAAAATGAAATTTGCAGTTTAGTGAATTTTCACAATTTACGTTTGATTTCCCTTGTTTTATTGAATTTTTAAATAATTAAATGATTACGACTATCATTCATACTTAAATTTATGTAATTATAGTATTATAATATCAATAAATCAAGCAATTCAAATGTCATTGGACTCAGTTACACCGAATGGAAACTTTTTTAGGCAATAATTTAGTGATTATTTAGTTCGGTTCATCCAAAGTTTCAAGACCAGCTGTCCGGCTGCAAGAAAATTGCAAAGTATAAAAGGATACATGATTTTTTTCACCTCCATCAACGAAAGTCTTTATTATAAAATATAAATCGTTCGATTATAAAATCTCTTCACATTTATTATAGTTGGATAATTTCAAACGAACCGTGTTCAAATTTTTTCAACGAGACAAAAATTGATTTATTCTTTTATAATTTTTTTATAATTTAATAATCGTATCATTTTATTATTTGATAAAGATATTATTTTAACATTTGATGTAAATTACGTCAATGTAACGAAAACCGAAGCTCACTTTTCGATGCTTATAAGCATGAAAAGTTGACATACTCCACCTGGAGATGCCTATTTTACACTTAACCATATTAATTGGCCAAAGCATTGTAAATAGAAGAAGTAACGAATGAAAACAGACAAAGTTGAGCATCTTTTGATTGGATTTATTTACGATTCAAGCAAAAAAAAAAGAACGAGGAGACATCAGGTGTTTCAGTTTTTTTCCAGCAACGACTTGCGAAGATCTTGAAAGCACCTCGCCAGTTTGCAAACGTCATCTTTGGCTGTGGCAAAAAACAAAAAACAATGACAAAATATAAAGAATATATTGAAACTCGCGTCATTATATGTAGTCACGCGTGCGCGTAAATCGTTACAAATAATCGGGACACACGTATTATTACCGTGCATGTTACACTGGTTAACGATCTCGTCCAATCTCTGTCTGGCTTTGGCTCGCTTCCTCAGGCCGTGGCTGGTGCTGAGTATCGATTCCACGTCGATGCTCCCGTCCTTGGTCATCTGCGAGTACAAATGCGAGCGAGAGAAAATAAGAACGGTTACATAGTTGCGTGAATGGTGCAGCATATACGTACGTAGCCAATTTTTTTGAACATGCAGGCCAAGTAGCAATTGGTCTGGTTTTCTGTGGGCGCGCTGGCACCGATTTTCTGTCCACTGTAAATGCCTGGAAATTATTTCGTCGCGCGCATCAATTTGATTTATTTGTTTTTACGATTTTTTTTCAGTTTTAAAAAGTCAATAAAAAAAGGAATCTATACGCATCTCTGGGTTTTTCAGAAAAAAAAATAAAAAAACAAATAAATAAAAACGAGAAATTCGATAAGTGATTCGACTTATCAAAAAAAAATATTTTAAATCGTTACTCGTAATGAAACATTCGAGTCAATGACACTATAAACGTTTTCGTTTTTACGAAGTTTTGTATTGGCACTAATTTTACCTGGATCGAGACCGCTGTTGATGAGGCAAGTCACCATGTCATCGTCCTTGCTGCCGAGATCCGAGCCGTTACTGTCCTAAAAAAAAAAAATATCACCATTCCATCACTCGCAACAGCTATAATAATAATAATTCCACGAAGTTTAAGGCGAGAAATCGTTTTACTCACCGCCCGTACCCTCAGTACGCAGATAAAGAACAAAACGATCAGTCTCATGGCTGATTCGCGAAAAAATTTTTACGTTTGCCCCGCGCGCGCCCGCCACGACGAGTGACCTTTTTTAAGCGCGCAGCGCGAACACTACTACTGTGCGGTAATGGCGCGCAAACGTTTGACACCGGACACTGGATGTAATGTTATTCGCGTAGTAGGCACGAAAGAGAGAGAGAGAGATGAAAAAGAAGAAGATTGACCGCACGGGGTTACGAGGCGACGACGCGCACAGAAAAAGTAGAGCACACATAGTAGCCACCACCGCCGCCGTTATTGAGCCATGTGCTTTCGAGGCCCGCAAGCTCTCTGCGTTTACGTATATATAATGCATCTATACAAACACCCACGCATACACTCGAGTGCTTCAATGCATACTCCATGTATACGTGTGTATGTATCGACGTGTTTGCACTCGAGGTGTGGATAGACACGCTATATAGATTATATCCTCCTCGTAGAAAGCATAACTTTTTATTGAGCATGATTTTTATTAATTATGATTCAATCGAGATTGTTCGTAATTTTATTAGTTTTATTAAATTTTTATCCCCACGTTAATAAAGATGCGCTGTTTTCGACGAAAAACCGCGATAATGTATAGTACAGTAGCCAGTCCGGATATACGACATCGAGCTTTCTGCTGCGGCCTGCGGCTCTGTTTTGCTCGTGGCTGTTACCTGAGCATCTCGTGGACTGCAAATTTCGATAGTCATTTTATTTCGTTAAAACATTGTCGTGATTTTCATTGAGTTTTTTAATTAATATTGCTGTCGAAAGAACTGCGTGAGCAGTTACAATTTTTAAGGGCAAGGTTAATCATAGAAATACTCAAGAGGCTAGTAGAAATAGTATCTTTTTTAATCAAAGTTAAATTTAATAAACTATGCAACAAAAACAAAAAACTTAAAATCCTCCAATCCTGCGACGCGATTCTGGAACTAGTCGCCGTCCTGACTGACATTCACTGCCGACGTAACCTCTTTCGGTTATGAATCGGACTGGATTGCGGTCCGTGTTTGTTTTTCCGCTGTCGTTTAAGATGTAGACGCTCGCTCCTTCCGCGAATATTTGTCGCATGATGTCCGAACCACGACCAGGTTTGAAATGATTTGGGCCAAGTCAAAAACGCAGAAAAAATGTTTAAAATTATAGCGTAGCGTAAAGCGATCTGAAAGCTGCGACGTAAGAAAATGATTTTTTTATGACCTGAAATGAAATTTTTATAATAAATCGTGACTTTTCAAAATGAAAGTATGTGTTCGATGACCCATGATAACCACCCTTTCCAGTACACTGTGCGTAGTTTATTTCGATAATATTAAAAATGTTAAATACAGCGAAGTAGGGTTGATGCTTATATCTAACCGTCTACTATTGTTTTTAAGTTTTTACTTCGTTGAGTTTGTATGTTTTTTTTTCTTAATCATATTGAACGACTCACACTGTACTCGATGTGGTGTTTATGTGCGCGCAATCAATGAGTTAAATTATCTTACTTCACTGCAAGTTTCGAAATTTAAGTCGATGATTGTCCCAACCGTTAATACGAAAATTTTTTGCAGCCTTAATAAAAGCAATACTATGAAAAGTCTCGCTCTTGGTGGATATTCATACCAATCGATGCAATAACTACGCAAAAATTTTTGTTATAGATTGTATAATTTTGTAATGAAGTAATTTTAATTTGTTCATTAAGAAAGTATTTTGAGCTTCTAACAAGAATGTTACCTTTCAAGAAACATGTTATAGCTGGCATTATATAGAAATTGACTAGGAGTACACATAATTATCAGTGCTACTAGTGCACCACAATATACTACCATCATTTTTGCAGCTAACACAAAATTAGATTTGGTTGACAACACTGCCTAAATTATTGAGACAAATCAAATCATAAAAACAAAAGGTGTGATTCTGTTTTTTTCTGAATCTAATGTTAAATAAATCAAACAAAAAATGTTTGTTAACCATTATAGCTACTTTACAAATAACAGAAAATTATAATAAATGTCTAATCATATTGAATTGAAATGTATGTGCAATCGAGCGTAGACTCGAAAAGGAACTTAATTGATTACTTTACAATTATCATCATGGCATGATTCAAAAGACATTAAAACATTGACTAAGATATATAATATTTATGATCATTACCGAAGTCCCACTTGTAACGAGAACAACCGTTGCACCGAGAAGCGACACAAACATTATTGGATTGGATATGCTCTGTTGTAAGTTGTAAAGCCTGTAAAACATATTATAGTATCCCATTATCACAAGAATATCATAATCTCATTGACTTGAAAATTACTCACTCGATACATTGATAATGTTTTTTAATTATTTGTTTCAATCTTTTTATAAGGAAATTACAAGCCTTTTTTTTGTTTTCACGAAATTTGTAATATCCATTATCAGTTTCTCTTAAATAGTACCTAATACGCAAAATTGAATATCCTGATTTATAGGAGGATGATAAAAAAATTGTTCTTTATAAGATTTTAATTTCCTCACGCACTGCATGTATTGAAATTGGCCTGCAATGACTCGAATACTTGTGCATTGAAAAACGTTTAGGACCAAAATGATACAAACCAAGTGACTTATAGATATTAACTGGAGCGCATAAAGAGAACCAAAGTATTTATCCGTGTTCACGTGAAAATCATAAAGAAGTGGCAAAGTTTTTTGAAATGTTTGATTTCCTGGTAGTATCCACGAGCCCAGAATTGGAACTAGTAATGGAGCAGTACCAACGAATGTACCCATTGGTATGAACACAACTAAAGAAAAATATTGAAGTTTATACGCGGTTTAATTAATATCCTGGACAAACAGAACCATTAACTTGTTATTATTGAAATGTAGTCCATAATTTTTCCTAACATATTTTCAACTATTTTTCGACCCATTAAATCATCACTTCTACGAATTTTTGATATTATACTCAAACACATGACAATCTAGAAAATATACAGATATTAATTATTACCCACAATAGTATAAAGAAATAATGAATAATAGTAATAATAGTAAACCTTTTTGTAGCGAACAGAAAGGTTGGTATAAATGTACAGTATCGTGCATCCGGTAACTATTTGAAATAAACTTTCAGCAAAGCGGCTGTCAAATCCTATTTCTTTCGCATCTTCAATAAGTTTTACAATCTGAAAAAAAAGAATAAAGAATCTAAAATTCTAGAAATAATATGAAGGTTATCCATAAATTGATATATACTATGCCAAGCAATTGGGCCACTAAACTTAATACCACGAATGATCTGCCGATCAAATGCACATTTTTATGTTGAAAAACGGACATGAAAGTGATTTCATATATTTTTAATTGAAATTGAAACGAAGCCTTGGACTTCAGAAATGCACCGTACCATTTGAAATCTTCTTCAAATTCAACTTGAATAGCCATGTTCGAAATACACAATGAAACTAAAGAATATTTTTTCAGTACTGTGTTACTTTGCTAGTGAAACGTGATTTTTCTACTAATGCATTGTTTATTAGTCAACATAAGTGTACGAAATTTCTTAGAATATTTTTATTTTATTTTTTTTTATAAAAGACAAGTTGAATTTATCGCTCACTTACTCTGCCTTTGGATTGACGTTTTTCGAGTAATTTTTAAACAAGCCAGAGGTTTAAAATTTTTTCAACACCTTTTTTGAATATTACGAAACATTTTTACTTTTCGTCGAACCTACATAGCTAAGATTTAAGCATTTGTAATTTACTTATACACAACTAAATTATGCAAGAGTAAGTTTTACACGAGTGTAAATAGTTTTTATATATGACGTTTTTCACGTTCGACCAGACAGTACGCTTGCGCGGGGCATTTTTTAATGTATCGCAGCTTTTCTAACACGCTGTGGCCAACGCAATTCGGTCTGAAAAATTATTGCATACATGCATTCCGATAGATTTTTGTCTGTTATTTCCAATGGTGGTATCACTTTTTCAAAAAAAGTTAATTTTATGGAGATTTTGAAACTTGTCCAAAAAACTCTAGTAATAATTCTTAAAACACGATTAAAGCCAAAAAATGCGAATCTTCCAATTTTGGACCACCCCACCGAGTTGTCAAATGACCCAGAACTGGGGACTCGGTTAAATTTAAATTTTCGAGATCTAAAAGCATAATAAATGAACATACGTGTCTATAGGTGCATCAGGAACCTAATGCTGATCTTCAAATTGAGTAAAAAATGTTTGAATAAAAATTATTAGGTGGCTGCAGGTGGTCGAAAACTGGAAGAACAATTTTACCGCATAGTGGAATTTTCGACCAGGTCAGAATTATAAATTGAGCAACGAAACAGATTTAATAACTTTTAAGGGTACTCATTATTTGCTCTGAAACTATAACATTTATAGAATCGAAAAATTTTAAATAAAACGAGCCATAAGACGTTACACATCAATATCTTGGGGTGTCCGAAATTTGGAAGGTGGCCGGTAATCGGCGCATTTAACCTATATCATACGAAAGCAAATTAAAGCCCAATGTTATTTATTTCGTGATCGGGCGTAAAATCATACCTCCCGAATGAAAAAAAGCAGCGCCCAATCGGAAGCAAAAGAACCCTAATTCGAGTTTCAAATTTTCGCGCGCTCAAGGAGCTCGACAACGCGCACGAATTGTTGCAGCTGGTACAGGGGCAGGCTGCCAACAGCAGCACACGATATTTGCAGCTGTTCGCGCTCGGCTCGCTTGCGAACTGTCACATCTCGAATGCAGCTATGCAGGGGGTGGAGCCTAATGTATACGCTCGCAATATATATCCCTATAACGTATATAGCATTGTTTGAGCTTTGTTACGATCAGCGCGAGAGGGAGAGAGAACGAGTGTCAGAGTCAAGAGCGCAATGTTTACCATCGATTCGTAAAGAGCATCTTGTCTGTAATAAAACGCGTTGGCAATATATATATCTATCAGCAACGTCACGCGTCGAGTAAATTACCTTATACTTGGTTGTCAAAGTTGCGCGAGACGACCACGACTGCTGACGATGTCGCGTATTATACGGACTCAGTACTGCTGCTGCTGATCGTCGCCTGTCAATTATAAACAAAGTGGGTGTATGCGTGGATGTGTCAGCTGTGTGTCCGTTAAAACTCTCACTCCGCGCGTGCATTAGGGTATAACATTGTTGTACTCGTCGTCGCGTCGTCGAGAAAAAAAGAGATCAGAGTGTAAAGAAAATCAGCAACGCACACACAATGGCAGGCGGTAATGGTCTACACATCGCGTCTCTGCCCTTTGAGCTCATAGAGATGATCGCTGCCGATCCGCAGCTGAGCCTGGACGACGTCAAGGCTCTCATGCTCACCTGCAGACGGCTCAATGGCACAGTCAGAAATAGCAATCACGTTTGGAAGTATCAGTTCTTTCGAACGTAAGTCCGCTGTTTGTATGTTTTGATGTTTCGATTTTTGAAGGTTATACGTCGTCGCCACGGCGTACGATTGTAAGAGTGATTCTCTCTTATCTTCTTCTGTGAGCGCTGTGGGCTCGACACCTGTGCACTGCTGTTTCATTTCATTGACTTCGCAATTGATAACAATTATTTGCACTTGCTCTGAGCTATCGAGAGAGCATCCAGTTTACAACAAATCCTATAAAACAATGTTGGAAAATGTTATTTTTATTGTAAATCTAATGGATTGATTAATTTTCGTAGATGGCCCAACATGGCATACATTTATCAAAAACAAGAGAGGCAAGTAAAAGACTGGTACCTGGAGATGCAGGCCTCGATGCAGCTGAGAAAAGAAATAATACAGCAGTTGGCACTGATTTCACCCAAATATTACTACAGAGATGATATTTCGTATTCGGCGTTTGCAAATTTTGATAGACTGTGCGATGAGGGCACCCACGTAATGGCGTATTATTTCATCATAGATGAATTGATAAGGTTCATCAACTTGGTTGAGTAAGTTGATATACATATGATTATAATATTCTTAAAATAATGATTATCAAATTTTAGTGAAAGAAGAACTACACAGCTTACTCTTGCATATTATGCTAAGAAAGTTATAAGGCATCTTGTGCAAAAGTCTATTGAAGTGGAATGGGAAAAATTTATGAAGCTTCCACCCTCTAAGCAATTATTAGAAATTGCAGCTACATTAGTAGCTCAATGGACTCAACCAACACAAATCATCACATATGAATACATAAGCAGTATGTTAGACGATATCGCAGACAGAGCTATGGAAACATTGAAGATCAGGCATCCTAAGCATCCCATTTTTTCAACGTCCCAAGAAGTCTTAGATCATTGGAAAAATCACAATATAGATGATAATCAATGGTCACTATCTGAAAATCAGCAAATTTTGGCAGTGCTAAGCGAAGTGATGTTTGTCAGATTACATTTCCGTGGAGATAGAGAATCTTATTACTTGGTCAAGACATCATTAATAAACAAAGTAAGTTTACTGCATACATTTTCATCTTTTGACTACCCAATCAAACAGAACTAACTTCATTTGAACTTTGCAGGTATTAGAATTTAAATATGGTGTTCCTTTGACTTTAGCAATAATATATGAGAGTGTTGGTCGTCGATTAGGCATTAAGTGTGAACCCGTCAATTTTCCTACTCATTTTCTTTTAAGATGGAAAGAAACATAGTAAGATTGAATATGATTATATATTACACATAAATACTTTTTTTAACCAATACATAAATTCATTTTGTATTTTACTTTCCAGTAAACGTGTACCTAATCCTTCTAAAATCGAGAATTATTATGTCGATGTTTTTAGTGGTGGTCACTTTTTAACTTACAGAAATTGTCCTAGAATAGCGCCAATAGCTGGAGTTGTCCGATGTCCTCATGAAGAAGTTATGCAAAACGTTGCTTCAGCGAAACAGGTTGGTACATCAATTAATTGAAGATCAACATTTTTTTTGCAATATCGAATAAAATTGTAATTTCAGGTCATTGAGAGAATGGCGAGTAATATAGAGACTGCAGCGAGATCTCGTTCTTACAGATGTGGAAGTTCGACGAAACTTCGTTCGGCTTTTGAATTGTTACACATGCTCAAACCAAAAGACACAGGAGTGATTTTACACATAGCAAGATATTACATGTTATATAAAATGGATTTGTCTAAATTCATCAAAATATTGACGGACATAAAACAAGTACAGTATAATTTTATTCATTCATCGCATAATAATGAAACTCTTTTTAATTGGAAATGAATTTTCCTTAGAACTCGGAACTAGTGTCGAGAGGGCCAGCTACTAATATATTAAAATTACTTCAAGACTATGAAATCCGTATAAAAAATGAGGTAAATAGATTATAAATAAATCTAAATTCATTTTTCTCTTCCGGTGTTTAATTTGAATTCTTTTATCATCAGGGAGAATATAAAATGATAATTAAAAAAAGGAGAGATGGAATGAGGCACACGATTGGTGCGATTATGGAGCACACGCCAAATCATGAGCTATGCGTAATAATTGGATGGGAATGGAGACGCGATATTCACTCTCACGAATTTAAAGAAGTATTGTTTTATCAGATACTAACAGACGAAATGATGAAGTGGACATTAGAAGGTATTTTCTTTTACATAATTATTCATTTTCAGTAATATATCTTCTATCTTAAATTTTCTATTAACAATGCCTGTATTCATTTCAAGAATGTTTGAGCCCCGTGGAGAATCCAAGATGGATAGAAAACTATGATATCGGACGATACTTCAATGAATTTAAAGGAACCCATTATGTGCCTGTTGAAGAATTTTCAATTGAGTATCCAGAAGATGCCGCGGTTCGCGATCAGTATATAGCTAGAACCTATCGAGCATCTTAAAGTATTGTTGACCTGTTTAATATTGACTTTTAACTATTTTTACGATTTGACAAGACGCAATTTTTTTCTGTACAAATTACAATTGTAAGGAAGAGAAGTGAACGATTATGAAATTTCAAATTGTAATATTAGGTCGACGATTTTCATTTTAAGAAAATTGTCAAGTCAGAAAAAAGTATTATACATTGTGTAATTCGGTTATTTACATGCATAGAGAAAATGTAGCTAGGTACGTTAATTTTTAATACGATAAAATCGAAGAGTGAAACGTGCATCTTTCTACGAATGTAATTCAACAAGTTTCATTTGTGTTGATTAAAATACGCTTATAAATCTTCTGTAAGTATTGTAAATTAAACGCTGTAAATTCGCAACGAAGTGAAAGAAAAAAAAACGTACAGAATTTTAACAAAATATAATTTCCAAAGAATTATTTTTTATCCGGCTGACCAGAACGTTCAAATTCGATTGAATAATTATTGATTATTTGTTCTCAGTCGAGCTGAAGTGTAAAAAGTCTTTGAATTTCTCATAGAAATGTTTATAAAACGATTGTATCTATCGCAAGTATATTATTTTCTCGCGTTTGACTGTAAATAAGTTGAAGCGTATTATCATAATTATGAATGTTTTTTTATACAGTCAGATAATACTATTGTTCTCAAATCGTGTTTAAATATATCGCAAGAACTATATTTTTTTAATTAATTTGCAAGGATCATACTCATATAGTATTTCTCTCGAATAATGTGTAATAGTTTCTATAGTATTGCAATAAATTTTTTATGAACGAAGTCTCACGAAGATTTTTTAATTTAACCTCTTGATAAATGTTTAGGTAGGTTAGAACTTTGCGGATATGTAATAAAAATAACGCCATTGCGAATTTTCGTAATAAGTAAATAATATTTTTTATTGAAAGACTTATGGATGTAGCGATCACAATTTGTTTGTTTTTTTGTCACAAATGAGAAAAATGCTCGAACGACGTATCTTAACTCGTCGATCGTGAATTATATATACGACCAGTTGTCAATGGAAGACGATGAAATTAAGCGAGGATGGAGACGGCTTTGGTCTTGAGGAGACATCCCAAGACTTTGCCACCGGTCTCGCACTGGTTTCTGCCGACCTGGGTCTTGCAGCTGTTGATCACGGCGTCGACCTTGTCCTTGGGCAGGTCCTTGGGCAGCTTGGCGCGGGCGACCTGCTCATCCATGGATCCGTCGGGTCTCATGATGCCGATTCTCTTGAGCATGCAGGCGGCGAAGCAGCTGAGCTTCTCGTCGAACTGCACGGGCTGGCCCTTCTTGATGTTCTCGACGACGACGGGGTCGAGGCCGGTCTCGGCCACGCACACCTTCCTGTGCTCGACCAGTTTGGCCTTTTGCTCGTCGCTAAGACCCTGTCAGCGAGACAAACAAGAAAAAAATTAGAAAAAAAATTATTTTTGGGATGGAAAACAAAAATATAGATTGAAAAGATTTTTTTTTGTGTTGTAAACTTACGGCGTATGCACCGGCCAAGCAGAAAGCCAAGATAACAGCCAAGTATTTCATCTTGAGAGGTTGAGGTGTGTTGTCTCGCGAGAGAAGATCGGTTTGTTGATATCGTTAAGCGTCAGACGACCGACTGTACCAAATCGTCGAAACGCTCGTCTTTTTATACTCGAAAAATTTCGAGTCTCTCCACGATCTGCTCCCGCCGCCACCCGAAAAAAAAACAGCCGCCAGTTCTTTGTTACGCGAATGATATAATGATATACATGCGCGGCGTGTGTATGTATTTTCCTATTCGTCGTGGTCGTAGACACACATATGTCTCCGATCTCGATTGTAATAGGTCCGTATATGAGTCCCTGTATACCGGCTTACGCGTGCGAGTCCGTGTCGAAATATATATGTTATATATAATAGACAACAAAGCTGTTTTATACGGTGGCGGGTTCAAGGATCGGTATCGGGCACCATAGGGTCAACAAAGAGCTAGAAATCGCAATTGAAGTTTCTCGAAGGATATTGTAATTTTTTTTTGCAGCTTTTAATTAAAATGGAATCGAGTGTATTGTATTATATTATTATTTTACAACGATCTACAGCTGCTGCTAAGGCGTACAATACAGATTATTTAAATTTCGACTGCTAAATCAAACAATTGACATTTTCATATTTACCGATCAAAGAGTAAATAAATAATATAAATTTTTATTATAAAACAGAAGCAGCGGCAGCAGCGATCGCTCAAAGTTCAATGCGACGAAGTTTTTTTTTTGCTTCTCGTATATCTCAAACAAAAATCAATGCCAATTGAGTCAATACACTTTTGCGCTGTTTGTTGAACCTTGAAGATTGTAAAGCCTATCGGGTATTGTTTTAGAAAATTTTCTCGCTTTTCATTTTCGCCGCTCTCGTGGACAAGCTGATTTTTTTCTCTCTCTCCAAATTAAAAAACTTCAGTCTCGTTTCGAGTTTTGGTGGATAATATGCACAAGTGTCAGACGTGCGTGTGCAACGAAGCATCAGAAAAAAAAATTGTTAATCGAATCGAGGAAAATTAAGTCCTCCAAAAGGCGTGACTCCGTGTATAGTCCGAGTCATTCGAGCGTGTCCCGAGCAACAATGATTCAAGTACGGCACAGCTTAAGGTTTCGCAAAAAAAAATTTTTTCAATTTCCAAAGTTTGAAAATCCATCCAACGAAAAGATGACTACGAATTTCGCCGCAACGTTCGAAGTTTTTTTGTCTCTTTCCATGAGTATATAAATATACAGACGACACGTGTCAAATTTTGGAAAGTAAGAATGACTCTTGGAAACTTCAAAAAATCATCATCGCGATGAATTACGCGATGGACGTTCAACTTTGCTTTATTTCATTTTATTTTTTTTTTTTCGACGACAACAGACACAAAGAATAATGGGCCAAAATGAGGCGATAGCACCGTATAGTAAAGATAGACGCGAGAGACGCGCCCAGCAGGCCAACGGTTTCCCCCCGAGCGCTCGCTTCGCATCAATTAAATCGCCTGTTTATTTTGTTTGGGGCTTTTTTTCTCTCTTACGCTTCTTTGTTTGGACCACATCCTCTCATGCTACATAGCTACATAGACGTATTACAAATGTGTCGCGTAACAACACATCTGCCTCCGGCTAGCGATGTGAAAAATCGCAAACACAGTCGTGTTTTTCCTATCGATCCGATATTTTGTTCTCAATAACCATCATCATCATCATCATCATCAGCATCATCAGGCAAATCGCGTGAGTTTATACAGTACCAATAACTGGTTTTTTTCGGTGTAATTACAAGCTAAAAAAACTAGTTTTTTAATCTTTATTTGTTTTTCTCCATACATCATCTCTCTCGAGGAGGAGGCTCGACTTTCGTTTCTCAATTACAGCTCCAGCCAGTTCGTAAGTAGATACACCTAATTATGCGCCCGTCTCGAGTATTATCATATCGTCGTCGATAACGCCACTCGTTAATTTATTTACTATTTTTGTATATGTATCTCTTATTTTTTCTCGTCCGCGACGACGCGTATTGTGCAATTTCGCAAACGATAATCCTTGCGCGCGGTCGTCGTCGTCGTTTAAAAATTATCCGTCCCAGGGCTAAAACATATGAAAATTGTCTACGGCCTACTTTTGCTAATAATAAACCGTATGTTCCCAGCAGGAGGGCATAATTGAATAATATATTCGTCCATCCATCCGAACTCGCAGCGCATCGCATCGCAGGTCGAACCGTTCCACGACACCGATATCGCGCGCAGTCGCTACAATCCTATACCGATCGTCACGATGCGAGTCTTGTTGATCGTCTTCGCGTGCGCGATAGTCGTTACTGCGTCGTCACACGTAAGTTCCCAACAAGAACAGCAGCAAGTGCCGCGAGCGGAAGAGCAGAAAATGTCGCCAGCCGGCACCAACGACACCTGCGGCGACACGATGCACTTTATCAATCGTGTGATTAAACTTCTGAAACTTCTCGACCCGCAGAAGCCGCTGCAGGCCGAGAAGGAGCCGTCGCCGGACGACAATCTGTTGACCGCAGCCACGACGACCGCGCCCGAAATTAACCGTAACGAGTACTATCACGGCCTGCTGAACAATTGCAGCCGGGCCCAGAACATAACGGTCGAGCAGTACATTTACGCGTCGGCGAGAAACAATACGAACGGCGTGTGGGAGCTGGCCAAGTGCGTCGACGAGTGCATGCTCAAGACCCTAAGTGTGGTGAGTATATTGTGACCTTCGTCCATGACTTTATAATTCTAAGCGGCGGCGGCGGCGGCGCGTGCAGTACACGTGCGCGTGCCTGTACCAGATTTCGAGAGATTCGCATCGAGTCGTTTTATTTTTATGTTTTTTTTCTTCATTTTCAACCTGAGAAATATAAAGTTCACGATGAGTGTAAAGAATTATGTATTCGCCAAAAAGACTCGTGTCGAAAAGTCAGCGTGAGGAGCGAGTTTTTTTTTCTCTCCAGTAGTCATTGTCAAGATGATTCGTGTTCTCTTCTCTCTCCTTTCTCGTATAACGTATGCTAATGAGTGTCTTCGGGTATAATACTAAAAAATAAAAATAAATAAAAACTGTGTTACACGTGCGCCAAACTAGAAAGACAAATATTGCGCGTGGCCTTGCTCGAAACAAAAAAAAAATAAATAAAAGTTTCATCGCTTTCTTTCTGTATGCGATAGATGAAGCCGGACGGCAAGGTGGACATGGACCTGGCCATGGAGCATCTGCTGTGGGGCGAGCCGGGCCTGCAGAGGAACACCACCAAGTCCGCCATCGAGAATTGCCATATCACCGGTTCGGCTTTGTCAATCTATATGAATAATAACTTTTATCTCATGTCTTTGCTCTGCTGTTTCTTTTTTCCATTTTGCGGCAGTTTACATGACTAAAGAAACTCGTGTGTGCTTTGTGTTTTTTTTTTTGTTTTTTTTTTGTTTTTGGATTCTCTCTCTCCTGATTAGGCTTGGACGACTGCAACGCCGCGCACAATCTCATGGTCTGCGCTCTGGGCGATTATCGGAAGCGAAAATAGCTCCGAAAAGAGAAAAGTTCACCGGTGATTGCGGCGGTCACGGCGCAACGGAAGGGAATTATAAAATAGGAATAAGGACACTGTATATACGTCTCCCACACAGTATTATAATAGATGTCGCCGTGACACTGCGGCGACATAAGTACCTGAATTGGAAATTAAAATAAAAATGATTGTTATATCGCTCGTTCAAATCGTTGTTTGATTATTTTTTACCTTCAAAGTGCAATTAATAATTGAAGCATTTTTAATGATTTTTTTTATTACTTTATATAAAACAGAGGCTGTTGTCTAAAGTACCTGCTATAAACTTTTTAAATCTGGAATGAGAATCGAAAATTAGAAGAAGAAAGTGGTATCTGCTGTTCTTGCTAAGTTAATTTGAAATGAAATTTTTATCTCTCAATTATTAATTATATTAGCACCTAAATCGGTGCCATGTTCAGCATATATTTGACGTTTATAAAACAAGATAAGATTTCGCTTCAGTTTAAACAATGCATTTTTTAAATATATTCTGCCCGAGTAAATTAAAATTTTCATTAAACTCAACAAATAAATCTTTTATCGTACCCTGATTGTTTACTTTTTGATACTTAATTAATGTCCGATATCGATACGCTTGACTGAATAAACTTCAGCGAATAAAATAATTTCGAACATTTGAAATTCATCGATGGGTACGAGTAAAAACCGAAGAGTGCAAGATTAATTGAGGATAATGAAAAATAAATACTTCTTTTTCCATTGCAATAATTCAACGATTGAAAAATTAGGTCGACTTCGAAATTTGCACGCACCACCTAAATGTGCAAATAACTATGAGCGATGATTTATTTACCGATGTCAAATGTTGCCACGCATCTTTATAGTTTGACTTTACCGTTGCGAAATGATTGCCAAAAATCGAGCTGCTTATTTTCTCGATCCATCGGCGATAATCGATCTATGAGCTTCGGAGGATAAAATCGTTTTGCTTGCCGAATTCCTATCCTCGATTGATCATTCGTGAAATTTTTAGATTTAAAAAATTTCCAGGTGATACAGTAGACGTATCTACTTTATCGATCATCGATTATCCATTTCTGTTCTTTACAAAAAAATCCCCTAGATTCTACAGCATCCGGTGTGAATTGTCAGCTGGACGCGGTACGTATTATAGATTGTATTTATTCAATCAAGTGTTAAATAACGAGTAAAACAGTATTGATTGGCAAACGTCTGTATTTTCAATATTATTTAAAATAATTATTCAAGTATCACTCGAAATCTTTTTCGATTGCACTTGCGAGTACTCAGTACAACGTGAGTAAATAAAATGAAAAAAATGGACATAAATCAATGCATATGTTTACAACACTATACAAGCTATAATGCCGTGTGGGTTTCTCAGAAATCCACGTGTATATTTTATGACAGAATTTTATTTAGTCCGCAATAAAAGGGAAAATCTTTAATAGTTTAATTGACTTCGAGTACCCTTAGCGATATTCACTTACAAAATCCGTATAAGTAAATATTGCCAAGAGGTCAATGAAGCCTCGTGGATAATAAAGATTCTGGCTCGCCTTGAACGAGTTCATTTTCCCAGGAAAGGCGCGCGAGTAAATTATACGTACGAAATGATTTTTTCTAGCCGCGATGCTCTTATACAAATACATAATTATATCTTTATTCAGGAAAATTTTCTCGCGCATCGACAACCGAGTTCTTAATTTAATTCTTGCGTATACATACGCGCATCGTACGATCAATGACGAAAGTCTATTTTAAATATAATGGCTTTCTCGACCGGGCGAAGACTTCTTCCTTCGCGCGGGGTCATTAAAGCATGAAAACTGGTCGATAGAAAAAGCGAAGTAAAAGCAAAAAGTTATCATCTGCATACCCGACGCTTATCTTTGCCTGCTGCATAGCTGCATAGAACCGTGGGCGCTATTTTACGACTCGAAAGTTATTTCGGATATACGATTAAAATGTATCGAGATGCACACAATGTTTATAATCGTCGGCAGGCGTGTCTTATTGAATGATTCATTCAGGAATAATACCCAAGAGAGACAAGATTTTTCGACGAAACTCGATTGACCTTTCGATTTTTTCAGTCACGATACAAAAGTAGGGCATTGGTTCAATGAGTTTTTGCCTGACAATATACAAAAGCACATGTTGTGTATTTTGTGTGTACATCATCGCGCGGATCGAGTCATCGGCCAATTTACGTTTATTATACACGACACAATGTCGATAACCATCTGCCCTCTCGCTCTGCGGCGCAGACGTAACACCGGGAAAATCTATCGTGAGTCGCGCGTCGTTTTCATTTTCTGCATCTGCGGTATTATATAGTGAAAAAAAAGTACATGCTCGTTCCGTTTGTTTGTTTTCCCGAATTCTTCGATACACATTATACTCGATCGTATTTATATACATCTCGTCGTCTCTTCTCTCCCACTACTTCATTAATTCATATGTATACCTTGCCTTATGCAAAGCGATCAAAAACGAAAAAAATAAAAGGAAGGTGGAATGAAATACCCAACGACGACGAGTTCGTGCCGCCGGGTATATAAAGTCGCAGTCGCGACGAATCCAGACCGCAGACACACGGTAGCTTATCGTGGTCAAGTTCGTCATTTAATAAACAAGTATAAGACAGAAGAGCAGCAGCAGCAGCAGCAAAATGGCTTGTAACAAATTATTAATCGGAGCGATTCTGTCGCTCTTCTGCGCCTATTACGCTTACGGTGAGTCGTGACGATCGTGATCAACTTCGGGCGTCCTTAAATTATAAACTGTGTGCTAATCTCCCGTGTTGTTAATTATCATCGCAAACAGCCCAAGTGCAGCAGCAGCCGCAGCAACAAGGCCAGACCTACCAGATGGACCAGATCTGCCTGGGCTGCATCTGCGAGGCCGCCTCGGGTTGCAACACCACAGTGGGCTGCGTGGGCGACGTCTGCGGTCCCTTCCGCATCACCTGGGGCTACTGGGCCGACGCCGGCAAGCCGACCGTCGGTAATCAGCCGGCCTCCAGCAATACGGGTAATTGATATAAAAAAAACAACACAAAATTAATGCGCAATTAACGATCGATAAATATTTATTGATGAAAAATGTTATTCGATACAGCCTACTCGGATTGCGCGAACGACGCCTTGTGCGCCGGTAGAACCGTGCAAGGATACATGAACAGATTCGCTCAGGTAAGATACAGAGATTCATCTCTTTTTTTGCATATACGCGTATCGATCGCAATCGTAACATTAATTTTTAACGTTGTTTTCTTCAGGACTGCAACGGAGACGGCCGCATCACCTGCGACGACATCGCCCGCGTCCACTACCTCGGCGGCTACGGCTGCTCCACGGGCCAGCTCGAGAAGAAGTACGAGGCCGGCTACTACAACTGCCGACAAGCCTTCCCCAATGCCGCGCCATGAGAGAAAGAGATTAAAAGTCATCCACAGATCCGTCCATCCGCAATTTCGTTAATTATTTTATAATAAATAAAAACATTTATTTGTACTAACTATTTAAGGTAGTCCAGCCAAGTCTCTCATTTTTATGTAAAAGCATCATCGAGAAGAGTGCGTGACTCCATTAGTATGTAGAATCGTAACGAGCTTTAATTTTTTCATTGTGTACGTGCTGCGTGTGTAAAAGTGACGTTTATATATTAAAAAGGCAGTAAAATAGAAACGACAGAAAAATGTTTAGGCTCTTTTTATTTATTCATTGTCTCTCGCGTATATACCCAAGGTCTCTCTACGATGATTGAATGAAAATACAATAGAGCGCTGGTAACGATGGTAAAAGAAAAAAAAATTACACAAAATTTTTAATTCACCGGCGTCAGCGCTGAAACGAAGAATAAAAAAAAATTGCCGTAACTGTTGCGGTTACAACATAATTACGCGCTCGTGTACAAACCCAAGCCCCGGCTTAATAAATATATGTATAGGTAATGATTAATATGCTCCATCGTAGCGTTGAGTCGACGAAACGACGATCTCGCACGCGTCAGGCAAATTTTCATAATTTTTTTTTAAATCGAATTTTCTACGCCGAAAGCTGTGACTATGATCCGAGATTCGTTGAGCTACGAGCTTACATATAGCCTATAGGCATTGAGATACACATCGCGGCGTTTTAGTAACACAATTAATCGGCGATTAATCACACTGCTGATTTTTCCCCACACTGGTCTACTGTTTTATTGGAAAAACGCGATTTGTCGAGGCGATAGCGCGAAACATGCAACAACGCACATCGAGCATCGATTGCCGGACTTAGTTTATAAATCGCGCTGCTGGTGCGAGCAGCGGCATTAGACGTTTTTTTCGCAGAAAGAGCATTGAAAATGACTTCGAGAGTCTCGATAATCGGGCTTGGCCTCGTGTGCTGTTGTTGGCTATCGGTACTGTTTTTGGTGGTGGTATCGGCCGCGAGCGACGACGCGAAGGACAAAGACTCGCCGAAGCTCGACGTCATCTGCCTGGGCTGCATCTGCGAGGCGGCCTCGGGCTGCAACCAGACCCTGGGCTGCGTCGGCGACGTCTGCGGGCCCTTCCACATCACCCAGATCTACTGGACGGACTCGGGCAAGCCCACCCTGGACAGCGACAAGCCCGAGGCTACGGACGAGGAGGGTAATATTGCGACGCGTATATAACATAATAATATGATCGTTATTATTCCTCGGAGTGTTGAAATGTACAGTCGAAAATGTATTCCGATCGCGCCGAGTCCTCAAGGATTTTTTTCTTCTCTCTTATCTTTCTCTCGCTCTCGCTATAAACTTACCTTACCTTTATGTTTTTTTTCGTTTCTTACGCAGCGTTCGCTCGCTGCGTGAATGACGTCAACTGCGCCGCGCGAGCCGTACAAGGATACATGGAGAAATACTCGCAGGTAAAATGAAGAAAAAAATAATAAAATATTCTACACGATCCACGCGATAGGGATCGGTGTTAATATACATACTAATCGTTCCTTTACAAAAAATTATCATCTTTTTTTTCTCTTTCTCTCCTCTTTATATCGCAGGATTGCAACGGCGACGGCGTGATCGACTGCGAGGATTACGCGCGCATCCATTATCTCGGCGGCTACGGCTGTTCGGCGGCTGCCAAGCTCGACAAGAACTACGCCAAAGCTTTCAACTTCTGCCAGAAGGCATTCCAAGCTGTCTAATATATAAGCGATATAATGTTGTAAAAAAAAAAAAAAATAAACTACATAAATAAAAGCATCGATTTCTGTTTCTACATTTTCATTTATTTTCTTTCTCAACGATAATAATAAAGTATACCACTGCCTCGAAACAATGTCACGAGAAGAATCCAAGTCAAGCTCACAACGATACGATCCGCACCGTAGCGCGCAAGGCTATAATATTTGAGATGGGTAATTGCGAGCTCGTCATGACGCCCTAATACTTAATGTGTCGGCCGAATGTCTCTCGGGCAATTTTCGGGCGTGCAACTCGTATATTATTATAGGCAGCATCATCGTACCTACATGGTCAAACACAGACTGAGCACACAATGTATCGTATATAGCTCACAAGCTGCACCGAGAGTACACACTGTATACGTAATACCGTAACGCAATATACCTATATACATTCACATGCGTGGAAGAGATTAGTTTCGTACTACTGCTGCTGCTGCTGCTGCTGCGGGGGGGATGCTACTATATGTACATTATATCTATATGTGCGCAGCGACGCATCACCTCCGCGCATCTCGTGCGCTCCTGATCGTATTGCTCGTTTTTGCAAAATATTCTGCACAAATCTGTGCGTCTGTCGCGCGCGCGCCGCACTCTCTCGCTCTCTCGGACTCTCTGCGGCCAGAAGGAGAGGAGTTGGCAGGCGAGAGAGAGAGAGGATGATGATGCGCCGCTGCTCGTCGTCGTGCAGCTTTACTTCTTCTATGTGTGTGTGCGCGTTGAAACGCGTTTTTCTGCATTTTCGTTCGTTCGTTTTCTCGCTTCCTCGGTTTGTGCTTCGCGACGTGCGATGCCGAGTGGCGAGTTTGAAAAATTTCGCGGGAACTTTGTAATTTTTAATAATCTTGTTAAGATTTGTTTACCATTTAAAAAGTTTTTATTTTATGTGCGATCGGGGGATGCGAGAATGGAGATTTAAAAAGCTCAGAGAGCTTGCAAGCTCTCGTTTGATTGAAATGATTGACGCTGGAAATATATAATATTTTCAAAAACGCGGATTATTAAAGTAAGTTAAACTACGGATTATATCGTTAGCGCGCGAGAACTGCAAGTTATTTCATGACAGACACCAATACACGCGCAAACTTTCTGCACCAACTGCACTCGGTGTACAAGCGCCTCCTCGCGCCACTGCAGGCGCATCCACTACTCCTATATGTGTGTGTCCAGTGGCAGCAGCAGTCTACTACACGCCAGTTATGCAGTCTCGCAGCACAGCAGCAGCAGAAGAAGCAGCAGCAGCAACGAAGTCGAGCGACAGTTTCGCATTATAAACGCGTAACACAGAAAATAGCCCGTCAGCTGTTCGACTCCCTCTCTCTCGAGCCTTTATACAGAGAGAGAGAGAGAGACGACGCGCGACAATTAGTCGCAGCAGTGCGTGGGTTTTCCGCTCGAATAAGGGAAAGGATTATTATCGTTGAATTAGCTCGCCTCGTTATCGAGCTTTGTAATATCGTCCGAACGTGTGTGTGGTGCATCGTGTGCTGCTACTGCTGCTGCTGAGTGCAGTATCGCGCGCGAGGTCTCAGATGAGGACCGCGTCGATGTTGATTTCGGCGCGGAACGCCGAGCATGAGCGATAAAGGTAATTTCGTTTACGCTTTTTTCTTTTCACGATTATTAGTGAATGTTGCATGTGCATGTGCACGAGAGTACGATATACGTCGCACTGGTACAAAAAGATAATTGTTTTTGTCCGAATGGGCCTTTTTTTCGGTGCGACAAGACTCAGAGAGCCAAATGACTTTCCGCTTTTTTTTATCTTGAGTTTGTGTGTGCTCGATTGGCACCTGCTACTGACCCGATCGTATAAATTCTTTGTGCGTAGTATACGTATAGATATATAAGCAACATTGTGTAGTGATTTTTCGGAGCACAAGAAGAGTGAGGTTATGCTCCCTATATATATTTGCCTAGCAGTAGAACCCAACTCGTATTCCTTTCGTATCGTCCACTCGGAGCTCGTTTCTGCTTTGCTCACTGCGCCTTTGACATTGCTAACGACACTTTGCCTCGTGTTTTTGGTGTTTTTTTTTTTTTTTTTCGCAAGGTTTATTATCATCGATGCCTTCGACACGCTGATGAACTTCTTCGCGCGCGCACGAATTTCTCCTCCCTCTTTTTCTTGCGTTGGCGTTTGTTTTCGCGCGAATTAGGGGAGAGAAAGCAGCTGACATCTATATTTAAAGGGCACGTGTGTTTATGTTACGCGGCGATTAAAGCTCGCAAGCGTGTGATACGCGAGAAAGCGAATCGATCTTTAATTATCGTTCGGGTATTGAGATTAATGAAATATTTTTTTGTGGGAGGAAAAAATCTCGATCGTTAAAGTTATAATCCGCTCCCCTCACACGGTCACGTGTAATTTTCTCGTTATTCTTCGTTGCCCGAGAGACGAAACAAAGCCGGGGAATTTTCTGTGCCTCTTCCTTTTTAATGTAATACAAGTTAACTCTCTCTAGCGCGTCGTATAACACGAACGAGCTTCCAACGCTACAGTTAAACCTTTTATACGTTCGGTCTCGTTGGGTTAAAAAAAGAAAAAGTAGGTAAATCAGAGACAGCAGTTTAATTCTACATCCAGAAGAAAATAGCTACGATTTAATAGTTACACGTATGCAAAACCCTTGAGCTTTCTTGCCAACTTGACCGTGAGAGCTCGTGCATAATATATGCAAAAAAAAGAAAGAAAACATAATCCCGCGGGGACAAAGAGAGAGAGAGAGATTTACGTATACGTCGGTCGCTCCGCTTATGTACACAAGAAGCTTAATAATATGCAGAGCTCTATATACTCATTATGATAACGAGTGTGTACTTAAGGCCAATGTACATACCCGCTCGATATATTTAAAGCTTAATACCGAGCGAGCTTTTTTCCAAATGATAAATCTCATATTTGAACTCGTCGAAAAAATAATATTCGCGATGTGAATCCAACTTTTTTTGCAAACTTTTATACATGAAATCTGGAAGTAACTGAATTCAATCTTTTCGCTATATATAACGAAACTCGATGGAAAAGGCCACGCCGCATATTCACGTATCTATAAAGACAACAAAGTTTATATAGCCTCGAGCACTGTGTGTGTATCTATTTTTACACGATCGAATCGCGCGGATAGTTTATTGCAATTAAACGCAAAAAGAAAAAGCAACAACTACTCGCGAGCAGCGTCGGCGCCGACTCATCGAGCAATGCAAAACTTCGTTAAAGGCACTTTATAAGCTCGGAACGCAATTGCTTTCGCGTGACTAGGACGAAACCACGTGCCAGTGCCCGCGCGACGGAAAGCCTATTACAGCGTTTATAGACAAAGACACAGACACATACTGCTGCGCCGCAGATAATTGCATTCGGGTTGTGGACGGACGGACGGACTGGGCTCGTCGCCGTGACCCTCGTTTATGTAGACATTATTATTCGTACCCTTCTACGGCACCGTTAAATTGAACGAAGACCTCGGTTTTATCATATCAGCCTCCGTTGCTGTTTCTGCCGGTGCCTATATGTAGTAGTTTATAACGTAGATCTAGGCCGTGACTGTGTGTCGCATTCGTGATCGATAGATGAGTGCATCTGCACGCACGTGTGGCCCTATATGCAACGATCCTCAAAATTATATACTTGAATTTCGCGATCTACCTGTATACACGAGCTCAAGCTCCCTTTTGTGTATGATGTAGGAAGAGTAATAATAGACACCATTCGTCTGTGGTAAAAAAAAACCAATGGTGTAACTTCACGAATTTCGACTCGCTCATCCGAGTAACCCATTTCTAGGCTCTTGTAAAACGTACGTTAACAACAATAAAAAAAAAAAAGAAGTTTATCGCGATAAAACCTGTCAGCTGTTTCGACGCAAAGTTTTTTGCTTCATTCTTTTTCTTCCAACTTCAATTTTGTCACCGTTGATTAGTGTTTTTTTTTTCGTTGCTGTTGCAGATCCTTACGTACACTTCAGCAGTGCGAGCGGTGCGGGCTGCAACAATATCGTCGTACAGCCGCTGCGACACGGCCACTTGAACGTCAGCCTCGGCTTTCTACAGATCAATCACAGGTTCGGATATTTACACGATGCAATTGATACGTAATTATAAAATGTATAATGTGTGATTATTGAATATACTCGCTGAATGGCAGAATTGCGCGCTTCGCTTATTAAATGCCGATATTCAAATTATACGTCGGTATTAGATTATTTGCGAGGATACACAACGTTTATGTATATATACTCGCTATACACCACAAGTGTCTGTAATTTTTTCTTTACATAACTATACGTACGCGATGATGTTCGATTGATTTTTTTGTTGAATCGCTCGGTGCTCGTGACTTTGAGCGAACGATACATACCGCATTCGATCAAAAATATGCCACGTCTTAAACTGCGTTTTTTTTTACGGAAAATATAGCTTCAATTTTTATTCGTAACGTGTACTGCGATTTGATCGGCATATTCAGTAAAAATTAGATACGAGGATAACAAAATAATCAAAAATACGATATACTCGGAATACTTTCGGACCAACCGATATTTCAATCGTTTTTCCTAAAACGATTTCGAAGCGAGGCCCGCGTCTTATTTTCGGGATATGGCATATTTTCGGTATAACGCGGTATACACATCGTGTAATAGCTCGAGCGCCCATGTTTACATTCCATGTACGTGAAATATGTCAGTATAACTTGCGACGCCGCAGCAGTAACAACATCGAGAAAAGCAGCAGCAGCACCAAGTGATTCTCCTGTGCGATAACAAGTGCCACTTTCAACACTCGTGTGTATCGTGTGTTTGTGTGTGTGTGTGTGTGTGTGTGTGTTGTGTCGAGCGCACAGCTGTGAAAAAATGTTCACGTTCAAAACCGTGGAAAGTTTACCCGGCGAAGGCAAACTCGCGAAATTGGAAAAACTGAAGAGTTTGCGAGAAAAGGTCAACTGGGAGGTCAAAGAAGAGCGATACGAACTTCTGGCTCGACTCGGCCAATCGCTCGGCCGTTGGCAGGGCCAGCCTCCTGATCTCCGCGAGATCTTTCAAGGCGAAGAAATCGATCGTCTCCTCTTGGACTCGACGGATCTCGTGGCACCTCGCATGACGACGTTCGTTCCCACGGTCGCTCTTAGCGGCTACAAGGACGAGCCCGAGCTCGACGAAGCGGGCAAGCCAGTGCTGCGTCGCACCACACCGATACACCAAGCGTACCGATACCATTACGGCTACCTTCCTGCTCTGTTCGAAATATACGACAGATTCGACGCGAACTACATCGACGAGTCCGGATTGACGCACTTTCACGCGGCCTGCGAGCTCGGACGTTACGACGTCGTCGAGAAATTTCTCGAGCACGGTCAGGATCCCAACGTCGTTTGGCGAGAGACGGGCGATTCGCCGCTGATCTTGGCTCTGCGCTACCTCAGGAGGAGGGTGGCCGAGCTGCTGCTGAGGAGTGGGGCAGATCCGAACTTGGCCAACGCGAAAGGAGAAACCCCTCTGCACGTGATTTGCTCGCAGAAGAAACCGGAGCTGGTGCAGTCGTTCTTTCAGATTTGCGACGAAAAACATCTGTCAGTAAAAATCGACGCCCGGAACGAGTTGGGCGACAGGCCGTTGCACTTGGCTCTGCGAATCGGTAACAGGAAGGCGGTCGAATCGCTGCTGAGAGGCGGAGCCGATCCGATGTCCCTCAACAAGGAAGGATCGACTCCTTTGCACATCATTTGCGAGACGGGTGTGGACGGCGATTCGATGGAGATATTCTTCAAGATCTGCGACGAGATACATCGAGTCGTGCAGGTCGACGCGACGGACAGACGGGACCGGACGCCGCTTCAGAGGGCGCTGACGTATATCATGCCGCGCACGCTCGACGTGCTCTTGGATCGTGGCGCCGATCTGTCCAGCTTCGTTTATCCCACCGAGGCCGCCTTCATCCAGGCATTCGATCAATGGCTCACCGACAGGCTCGACTTTAAATTACTGCTAGCTTCCGGCGTCGTGGCCTGCGTCGAGCGTCTCGAAAAAAGAGGCTACGAAACGCATCTCAGCGACGCCGTGGCCATCATGCAACTGTTCGCCAAGCACGAGCTGTTCGAGAAGTCGGCGGATCTCGACAGGTCTTGGTACGACGACGAGGAGTTCGCGAGAGAAGCGAGATGGACGATGATAAGGCCGGACTTGTCGCTCCACGACCTGATCCGAGAGCAGCTGGCCACGAACAGATCGCTCGCCAATCACGAGGACTACTTGGAATTCTGGTGGACGAATAAGTTGGAAGAATTTCTGCCCGAGGAGCCTTTCGAGGCTTGCGCCAGGCATCTGTGCGAGACGATTTCGAGAAGATTCTTCAAGAAGTGGGGGCTGGTTGGTCTGGTGAAGCTGACGAGCCAACGACTGTCGATTCTTAGCTGCGACGTCATCGTCGACATGCTCGTCAACGCCGATTTGTACACCATTTGCTTGGCTGCTAGTGACCAAGGTCTTATTCGACAATATAATATAATATTCTAATAAATAAATTAAAAAAATTAATATAATATTCAAATAAATAAATTAAAAAAATTAATATAATATTTAAATGAATAAATTTAAAAAAAAAATTGAATATGTTGACTTTATTAAGAAAAATAATGAATTCTCAGACGTTTGAAAATTGTTCTTCGGCTTTATAAGTACATAGACTAGAAATTAAAAATTTTCGATAGAGTACGCGGCATTAATCGCTCAACTCGAGCGCCACACTGTTTACATGGCAAGAGTTGATACGTATCGCACGTTGAAATAGGTCAGTGTAACTTGCAAATCACGAGACAATGCGATCGATTGAAAGATCGAAGAGTAGCGCCACAAACGTCTCGACCAACTCTGGCCCTCGATCCAAGATTGGAAGGGCGAACTTCGCGAAAAGCGAAAAGATCGAGCGCCTTTTTTCAGATGCCACGAATCACTGAAACGAGAAAAGAAGCGAAAATCGAGGCGAAAGATTCATCGATATCGTGACTATGAACGAAGACTTGTGGTACATTTGCTAGACGATTCGCTATATATTTTCTGTCATTTTTTTTTTATTTTTGTAAACACTAAATTCTGCAGATTATTTCATGTTAATCGTATGAAAAAATTGAACTCATTAATTTGCGTATTATCCCACAAGTCTCCCATCTTAATAATTTTTCGATACCTGTTGATTAAATTGTTATTATTTTATTTCTTACAGATACCACGTGGAATTCACAGTGCCATGGAACACTTGCGTGCTTCAGCCGGAGGGCGGAAGTCACACGGAGCCGGCGATGATCAGCGGCGAGACGACCAACTCCAACTGTCGGGTCATCGACTTCACCCGCGAACGAGATGATCTCAGGTATACGCTCGCACGAATCACGATACAATCGTCGTCGTCGTCGTAATAATAACGCAAAATGTTTCTCTCCGTCAGGCTGAAAGTCGAACTGTTCGCGCAGACGGAGCGCTTCCTCAAGGAAAGGTTCCAGATCAAGTGCTGCGAGGCCGGCTCGCCGCTGACCATCTACATGAACGCGCGGGTGTTCGGCAAGGGCCAGGGCACACCGGTGCTGCGCAACGGCATACGCTGCGTCGGCGTGGAGAACGTCACCGAGGAGGAGACCGAGGACGACGAGGACGACGACGACAATGCAGCGGCGGCGAGTAGCGAAGTAGGTGTAGCACCTACAGCGACCGAGATCAAGAGCAGCAGTGGCGGCGGTGGCAGTAGCGGCAAGCCTACGTAGTAGTACGGATGCTTTTAAGTTGTCGGTCGATCCGTGGCAAAAAAAAAAAAAATAATAAACAATTGTCAACCATGTCGGGTGAAAATATGAAAGTCAGTTGTATCGTTGTCGTATATTATATATATACTGCCCCCGAGGAGCAATAAGACACCATGTATAAAAAATATAAAACGTAGCAATACGCGCCGAATCAAGATGTACATTGATACACAATTCGTGTAGTATATATAGCCCTTAAGTAGATGTAAAAAAGAACATAAAATTATAATTGAACCTCCCCCCTTCTAATTATCGACCTCGATTCTCGTATTCTCGCGGTGACATGGTTCAATTATAGCATCGAAGGCCTTTTTACAAAAAAAAAATTGAAGGACCACTTTTGTATTAGAATTTAATAATAATAATAATAATGAGAAAAAAAAGGAAGAAAGAGAAAAATGACGTTTTCACGAGGCATTTGTCTGCATTTAAAAACGTTGAGATAAAAATAATGTGAACTTCTTTCGATCTTGTTCAGCGGAAAGATGTATTATAAATGTACTTTCTGTGCAATAATCAGTATTCAATATACCGAGGCTTTTTTCTAATCTAAAAAATCGCTCTTGTTGCTGCTAAAACCAAAAAAAATGGACTATCTATTGTAGCGCTATTTCGGAATAGAAAAAAATAAAATACTTTTCTAACTGTTAATAATGTAACACGCAGTGTTAACTCCTAAAACGATCATTATCATTGATGCCAAAATATTAAAACGATACAATAGATAAAAGTTTCGAGATTACATGCGTTCTGTTCGATCTAACATCGAATCTATATTCAAGTATACAAAATCTCAAACTCTATTTATATTGTGTACAAATCATTATCACGATGCATAATTCTTATATCATAGTTGCGAATTGTGAAAAATATTATTACTTTTATTTTAGAGAAAAATTCTGAAAGAATAAAAAGTATTGAATTATATTAAAAAGATAGACGTTTATTAGACTCTCTTTATTTTGAATAACAATTATTATATTAAAAAAATAGATAGTAATGATTGCATCTATCCTACCATCCAAAAAATCCTTATCAACGAGTATCAAAATATCAACAATCGCGACGTTTCACACGCTTTATTCAGTCTTTTCACGTTTGTACTTATCCTTATCATTAGAGTATAAAAAAAAATCAACAAGCAATAGAAACAGTTTCTCAATCGCAATTTGTGCAATTAAAAGGAAATTTTTTACGTTTATCAAAAAAAAAAAAAGAGGAAAATATGACACTTCTCGAACTCGAACATAGAAAAAAAATGTACAAACGATGTGACAAGCGACGAAGTCATTCTCACATACTTAATAACATACGAAAAGCTATCTACAGACAGACAGACGCGTGATCAGCATCTGAAGTTATTCTTCTTCATGGGTATGCCGGTGGGTCCGTCGACGAACTCGCATATGTTGAAGCCGAGCCTGGCCAACGGATGACAGTTGCTCTTGGGATTGCCCCACTTGCCGGTGAAGCTCATCCAGCCGGGCATCAGATCCTTGACCGACAGCAGCTCGAGCTTGTGCCAGGTCGGCCAGGCGGTGCCGAAGCCGCTCTCGTCGTACAGCCTCGGCAGTCGGACGAACTTGTGCTTGCCCGGGGCGGTCCAGAGGCCGTGCGAGCCGCGAGCGCTGAACAGCACCGGGTGCGAGCCCTCCGCCGTGTAGACGCGCTCCGGGAAGTTGGGCTTCTGGAAGATGCCCTTGCGCGTCTCCTGGGACTCGAAGAGGAACGTGTTGGCGCGCGGCTCGTAGCGATAGAAGGCGCCTGCGTCGTGGGCCGAGACGTACATGGCCAGAGGGTGATCCTTGCCCTGCGAAGAGAAAAAAGAAAAGTTATTTTTCTATATAGACCTCGACGGATATCGAATTTTCGAATAATTAGTAGAATAGTAGTAAGAAAAACCTGTAAGGTCATTGTGGGTGTTTTCGCTCAGCTAAGCCTCTACTTTCGCTCAATTATGTAATTATGTTAAACATGTTCAGCTCAATACGACCAATTCAAAAAGAAAAATTTTCTTATCTTAAATTAGATCGTTAATATTAATTATTGAGTGAATATAAATACATGAGCGAAAATACCCACATTAACCTTATACACTTTTATGAACTTAAAAAAAAGTTGGATTTTGGACACGTAAAAAGTTTTAAAAGCTTACAAAAGGTTTATAAAATGATTAATGTTTTTAAAAAAATTATAAAATTTATACACAATTTTCTAAAATCTTTAAAATACTTTTGTATTTTTATTCTCAGATTTTAATTTAAACTCATGTAATTAGGGCCTTACTTATAAATTTAAATTTATTTTTTTCTTTTACATTCTTTTAGTTTATATTTTCACTAATTTTTGTATTTTGCATATTTTCCATATTTTCAAATATTTTTCCACGTTTTCACAATTTTTAATAAAATTTTTACAAATAGAGACAGTTACATCGTTAAGTTTCCAATATTCAAATACTTGTAAATGAGAGTATAGCTTCCGCTACACGTTCGATAATGCCAATAGATTGATTGCAACAACTACACAAGTATTTCTAAAAGCTACATCTCGAACATTGCGATATAAAGAAAAACTTCCGAATCTCCTCATTGAGTCTCCAGAGCCAGTAATTACTCGTTGTGAACTTTTTTTACTCTGAAAATTTTGAGACAATCAAAGATGTCATCAATAATTTTGATGATGCTGCATTTTGTCATTTTTAGTGCATATTATACGGAATCTAAAAATTGTTCGAATCGAAATAAAAGATCAGATTTTAGACACTCAATTTCCACAGAGCCAACTCAATGTGTCCTAGATAGAAAAAGAAATGGAATTTCCAATGCACTACTGCGAGACTTTTTTTACTCTTTATTTCAAAGACAATGCGCACGGCAGCTTTTATCAAAAATTGGAAATAGAAGAAAAGGCTTGAGGGGAAAGAATGGAAGTGCGCGCACGGGTACTTATTCTTAAATGTGTGTCATCGATATAAGCCGCGGAGAATCGACGTATCGAGGAACTATGCATTACAAACGATACACGTTGTCTACGTTTTTCCTCTCTTATTTACCTTAAAATAGAGGCTGACGTGCTCCCAATCGCCCACGTGGCTGCCGTACTCGCGCTGCTTGCCGAGACAGACGCCACCGAGGCTGGGTATGGGCCAGCTGCCGAGGAAGCCGAGATCGAGCACGCACACGGCTTTGCCCTCGCTGAACGGATAGAACATCCAGTAGGTCACGTGGAAGTGCAGCTTGTCCTGTAGCAGCAGCAGCTGCTGCTTGTTGTTGCTGTCCTGCTTCTGCTGCTGCTGATGTTTTTTCTTCAATTTTCGACGTTTCAGGTCGTAGGGCCTGGCGAGGCCTGGATTGTTGCTGCTGCTGCTACTGATGGGTTTGACGACGGGCAGGTCCGAGGGTGGCGCGGACGGGGTGAAGACGGGACGACTACGCACGAGACGTCGACCGGGTGACAAAGAGTTGCCGTCCAAGAGCTCCTGGCTGCCTGCAAATTTTAGACACACGTATGTGAAAAAATGGTGACGCTTAAGTAAGAGAGAGAGACGCACATATGTTGTCCTGATACGAGCGACGATTTAATGTTTCTTCATTGCTCTGATTTTATTTCGACGAATGTATATAGTACTGCGGTGTATAAAAGAGCGAGTTATACACTGTATAATAATGTACATAGCTATATATAATGTATGTATATAATCGAGCACACGCATTCGCCGCGGGATCGCCGCGGGGCCGGCGATGTACGACTCTTCGCTCGTCTTGCGCTCCTGATCGAAACTTTCGTTTTCTGCAGAAATATCCGCACGCGTTCACGTGGACAGTTCTGCAGGAAGCTCTGCAGGAAATTCTGCAGGAACTTCTGGCTGCGGAGATTCGTGTGTGATCGCGACGTACTTTGCGCGGGTTCTTAATATCGTCGTAGAGCGATTTCGCCCGGAGTTTCTTTAAATGGATGGACCTTTAAATACGGCGAGGCATTTAAAAAAGGTCGAGCCCACGACGAGCCTCCGAGTGTGTGTATATAGGAATGAGAAGTGTGATATTTCCTGTGAACTGAGTCTAATGAGAGTCGCGGCACAGTTCAACTGACGGAAGCTTTAGTAGTATGCATACAAATAAGCTCGAATTAAATTAAACTTTATTTTACTTTCTTTGAAGTAATTTAAAAATGTGTATACTTGTACTTGTCGAAACTTGAAAATAGTTTCATTATAAACAATGATAATTAAGCAATTTACTTGTGGAATTTGGAATTTTTACGGAGTTATTCGCTACATCTGAAAATAATTCCAAGAGAAGTGTTTCTATGTATAATCTGCAAAGTCTACATGTAATATCGTACACTTTACTCTGGTAGAAAAGCTCAATTTTAAATGTATAGTTTTTGACCAACGAAAAAATTGATTGATCATAATAGAGTTTTTAGACTTATACATAATAACTATATTTGAGAATATGTTCTATAGAATTCCTGCCAATTGCGATGGATACATATTTATATTAGATACTTTTAATTTTTTAAATTTGATTTAAAATATCAATTGATTTAAAATATCAATTGATTTAAAATATCCATAACCAGTCGAAAGCCTTTGACTAATTGGTTCCAAAACCATGCTTTAACTTATACAATTATTTTGACTTTGCCACTTGCAGATTTACTGGAATAAAGGTGCTCGCTACCTAGTGGTGGAATCTCAAAGTAATATTGTCATACCAAAATGCTCAAAAACTCATCTCAATTTTTTACGACAATAAAACTGTTATTCTCGTGTCATTCAAAATGCGCTTAATATTTAACATAATTTCATCAGAAAAATTTCCAAAATAAAGTCGATCAATGATAATGTATTTTAAAACATTCTAAATAGTCATTTTTTAATCATTAGGCCGTTATTGATGTCAAGCATTTCTAACAAGGTTAAAACTAACGATCGGTAGTCGGATAATGTACGAAAACTGCGGATGCAGTAAGTAGGAAATGCCAAGTTCAATTTGATCTCGCGATACACGTGCTTTCGAGCTCATTCTTTAACGCGATACACGGAATAAGTGCGCATTTAACAAGGCAATGAAATCTAATTGAATCGCGATCCGATGTGCACTCGGTCGTATATACCCACACACACACACAACTCAGTCCCAAAGTAGGATATCGAACTCGAATCAGCTGTCCGAATCGCATACGTATGCTCGTTATGAACGGAATTCTGTTCGGCCATGCGCGAAGCGCGCTTAATTGAGCATGTGAATTCAATTTGCATCGATCGGCGCATATATTTATTTCTATCGATTCTCAAACACGTGCGCGTTACACATTTCGGAATATATATTGTAAAGTATCTCCATACATACGCGAAGAAAAAATGAAATAAAATAAAGTAAAATAAAAGAAGTTCGACTTTCACCGTGCATACTGTATGCTAATTTCTCTCACCGGCTAGGACGTTATTGGTCTCGATCGACGACGGCGACACTGCAGGCAATAACGGCAGCAGCTCGTTCGAAAGTCCGGCAAAATTCGATGTTGTCGTCGTCGTCTTCTTAGTCGGGTCGTCGTGCACGTGATCGTCCTGCGTGTTCTTGAAGTAGAAGTGCTCGTCCCGGTGGCGGCTGCCCTGCAGGCAGTTCTTTACCAGGGCGTAGATCGGCACCTCGCCGGCTGGCCGGCGGCCGTGCAGGAACGACGATTTGTTCTGCAGCAGCAGTTCTGTTGGTAAAAACAAAGATTGATCGTTGAAAAAAGATGAAGATGTAAGCAGATGTGATACAAAGTCAGAAATTAAAATTGAAGCAATCGATATATTGAATTTTATGAAAGGTATTTTTACACGAGATCTTCGTTCAAAATAAATGTATAATTTCGGATTTATTTTGTTAAGTAATCTGAACGAAAAACATTTAACTCTATTCTCGAATTTAAACATTTCGATTGAAAATTAATGCTTTAATAACGATTTAGTTTCGTCTAAGTTGGACAAAAAATTTTATGAAAATTCAATCATTGAATCCAGCATCTACCACCAGATGGCGAGCACCAGTATGTCTATGAATCTGCAAGTGGCAAAGTAAAAATAATTATATAAATCGAAGCACAATTAAAGGAATGCATGATCATTATTTATGGTTTTGGATATTCGATGTTTTTGGCTTATAGAAATTCAAATTATATACAATCAAATTATTTTTGACTTGCATCCCCAGCGTCAGACTGTAAGTCGAGGATGAAAAAGGTTTTCGCTCGTATCTCACGAACGACGCAAGACATCGGACAATTAATTTAACCGATCGATTCTAATTTTCTATAAAAGTACATAGTTTTACGAATGAGAAAATTTTGTTCGTTTGAAAACTGGCTCAATATTTTCTTTAACGTTCAAAAATATAGCCAACCGAGTCGCACAAGAATAAAATAAATTCTTCGTTCATAAATATAATCGATAAGATCGATTGATGCAAAAGCCAAATATATTTCGCTCCCAAATATAAAAAAATTGTATCAGTGAAGTATGAAGGTCATACATTTCTAATTTTATGGACAACGCATTGAACAGTTAAATAATCGTATTTCGTAAAAGCAAAAACGAAATTAGAACACCTTGCCTAGACAAAAAAAAGTATGATCTTAGCATGATTCTGTAAAAAAGTTCAAATGTATATTTGGCTCCATCGATAGAGGGCCGAAAGTCGCATTGGTCACAGTCGCACTCAATCCAATGAAGCATCTTAATTAAAACGCCTCTATATAACGTCGTCTATCTCTGCTTTTCCCACTTATATGTGTGTGTCCTCGTGGGTCACTCGGTCCAACGACGTACACAGTATACTCATACAAGTATACTATTATAGGAGTCGCTTTAATATGGTAAAGATCAAAAAGTAAACGTCCAGAGAAGTTCGGGGAGATGCATATGCCCAGTCACGTTCTATTGCTACGATCGCAACATATGTTATGTTCACGAGCTAACTCCACTGACACTTTCTAATCGTTTCCGAAATTGACTCCTACGCTGCGTAGCTACTTTCATCTCTTGTAGCTTCATTTATGTATGTGTCAAGGTCGTACAGTGAGTGTATAGTCAGTACGCGTTACGACACCGACGGCGTAAGTAGTCAAAAAGGATCGCATCGATCGTAGCGATTGATTTTTGTTCCTACGACAGAAAATAAAAAATATCTTAAAGTTATAAGTGGCTGTGATCGTGTGTGTGTGTGAGTGCCCAAAAATGATGGACGAAAACGGGGATAATTTACAACAAAGACAGATAAACAGTTTGAAGATCACAATTAAAGAGATGAATTACGTAGGGTTTATTAATTGGCCCATAGACAGACGATTTTTACTTCTTGATACACTGTATCCCTTAATCATAAATTGGAGGGGACAACTTCCAAATCTCCGGGACATTTTGGGTAAGAAAAAAATCGAGTGTCTTCTCACCTGGTCTGTATATTACACGAAGGTAAGGACGCAACTTTGGCCTGGGACTGCAGGACAGGCATTCGTCGAGTTCGTGTCTCGCTGCGGTTACAAAGACGAGCCCGACCTCGATGAAAATGGCAGGCCATCGTTGCGTCGCACCACACCGATACATCACGCCGCCAGACACTTGTTCGACGACAGAAGTCACGTGATCCGCGATCTTTTGATCATATACGATAACTGGAATTACGCCGACGATTCCGGCTTTACGCATTTCCACGCGGCCTGCAAATTCGGCTGCCACGAGGCCGTCGGGAGATTTCTCGAGCTGCGTCGGCTGGACGTCAATCGCCTCGTGCCGGAAACGGGCGATTCCGCGCTGCACTTGGCCACGGCTCGACGCCTGCCGGGCGTGCTCGCGATGCTGCTGCGGAGAGGCGCCGACCCGAACTTGGCCAACAAGGAAGGACGGACGCCTCTGCACTTCGTGTGCAACAACGACGACGATGAGTTTGCGAAGTTGTTGTTCCAGATCTGCGACCAAAAACATCGCTCGGTGCAGGTCGATGTTCGGGACAAGAAGGGTCGAACGCCCCTAATGTTGGCGGTTCTGAACAAGGCTAAAAAGACGTTCGAATTATTGTTGAGAAGAGGCGCCGATCCGAATCTGGCCGACGAGCTTGGATTGACTCCTTTGCACTTAATTTGCCAGAAATGGGATGAAAGCTCAGCGAAGATTTTCTTCGAGATCAGCGACGAAATGAATCAAACGGTGCGAGTCGATGCTCGGGGAAAGTTGGGTGGTACACCGCTACTCTATGCTCTGGAGGCCGGCAACATGAAACTGGTAGAGTTGCTGCTGCGAAGAGGCGCGGACCCCAATTTAGGGCGCGATAGCGGACGAACACCTCTGCACGTTTGCCTTCGACACGAGCGCATGACGGAGATATTCTTCGAGATCAACGACCAACTCGATCAGCGGGTGCGGCTCGACGCCCGAGACGAGGACGGCCGGACACCGCTGGATTGGGCCGTGTTGACGCTCGAGCCGAAAATCGTCGACCTACTCTTGGATCACGGCGCTGATCTGTCTAGCTTCGTTTTTCCGACTGCCAAAGACTTTAGCGGGCAATTGGGTATTGGTTGGTACGATAACAATTCTTTATTGGAAATGGCGTCCGGTCTGCCGGCCATCCTTGATAGTCTCGAGAGAAGCGGATACGAATTCAACAGAAGCGCCGCCTTGCAGATAATGAAATTGTTCGGTTATTATGGATTTTACAAGCATCCGGTATTGAAACTGATCGGTTATTACAGATTTTTCAAGCAGTCGGTGGATGTTGAAAAATATTTGTTCAACGACGAGGAGTTCAAGAGTATAGCGAAAAAGATCATGATAAATTTAGATCGGTCTATCCACGATCGATATTTGGATGACGATGAAGACGATGAAGATGACGACGAGGAGGAAACAGCGAGCGAAGCCGAAGAGTCATCGGAACCTGTGTCGCTCTACGACTTTATCCGGTCGCGGTCGCTCACGTACGGGGACTACTTCGATTTAGCGCGCTCGAAAAAATTGTGGGTGCTCCCCTGCGAGTACGAAGGGACTCTAGCTTGCCATCTGCGCGAAAAAGTATCGAGGAGATTTTTCCGGCGATGGGCGCTGGACTCTTTCTTGGAGCTCACGCGCTACCGTTTGCCGATCCTCTGCTGCGAAATGATCATCGACGAGCTGGAGAACGAGGATTTGTGGCGTATCTGCTTGGCTGCTTCGGGCCAAACCTCGTGCTGGCGGCGTTTACTCATACTCGCGGAATTAATAGCGCCGCCTCATATTCGTTATTACTATACTGTCTTCACCGTCATTCCGTTAGCCTTAGTCATCTTCATCGTAATGGCATACATAAAATACTACGATTAAGCAACATTTTTCTGATGGGCTACCAATTCGACCGCTTTGAATAACATTTCAGAGAGAACAGGGCACGGCCCGCCAAGAACACGTACAGCGCTACTCACAAATGGCTGAATAAGCCCTAGCACCGAGTTAAAAATTATGACTCAACCTACCTTCTGCACGATGTTCGGGAAAAGTTTTAAAAAATGTTGGAGACTCGTTCGCCTCTGTGCTTTTGTCAGTCTCAAATATAAAAATGATCAACTCCGAATAAAAAGTTATTACGAAACATTTATTTGGCATTTTTTTTCAAATTTCAAAGCTTTTTTCATCATTTCCAATTTTTATTCTAGGTCTTCTTTTTCAATCTTGAACGTTGCATAGCATACGCAATTTTTAAAGACATTTGAAGAACAAATGAGGGACGATAAAAATGGTTTTTGAGAAAACTAAAAAAATAACTGGTGAGAAATTGGTTAATTAATGTCAATTACACGGCTGTGATATTATTGAAATCAAAAAAACAATTCACAATTTGATACTTCAAATTTTAAATGAACTAATAAGTTATTCTTACATCCATACGTGAAAGAATAATAACGTAATCGGACTTTTCGTACCCAAAAACAAGTGCAAGCGGTGCAGGATGTTTTTTTCTTTCATCGATACTGATGTTTTCTGCATCAAATTACATCAAAGTTTACGGTTATTAGTACGTGTCAAAGTATTCATTTAAAATACATTAATTTTAATTCGTTTACTTCATGACTTTGAACACATCTACGTAGAGGTAAAGAAACTTCTTACACTGTTACATTAATTCGAACGTAAATATTTTCAACGCCGCACATATAATACCGATCAAGTATGTAGTAGGCGCGAGCGGAAGGCGAAAGCTATATCATATCCATATAAACGAAGCCACCGTCGGAGCGATATGTGGGTCGAGTATGTCTCCGCTGTATACATACAAAATGTTTCCGTATACATGCTACATATAGCCACGTATCGTATATAACCATTAACACGTTCGCGTGAATCAACGCTAAAAGCTCGATCCGCGCGACGATCGCTAATTATCCTACTCGTGTATACGCGCGCGTGCCGATTTTTATCCTACAGCATACATAGTATTGCAGGTCAAACGCAGCAACAGCAGCAGCCGATATACAGGCGCGTAAACTCGATTTCTGGATCACGCGATTCCGATCGCTACCACCACCACAACCTCTTGAGATCGCAGTCGTGCGCGGAGCTGTAATATATATATAAATTGGAGCACTTGATCTCGACGTATGTCAATCCTGTACATTTAATAGCGCGTGTCGCGAATAATTAATTAAACGAAATGTGATATAATTCAATCGTATGTATGGAATAAAACTTTCATCCGCGCCCAGCGAGTAAAATCGAAATTGTCGTCGCACGCATAAACATCGCCTCGAAAGTACACGACGTTGATATAAAGGCTCGTGATTGTAACGACCAATGTAATTTGCCATGAATGGTTTTACATCATTATTATTATTATTTTATTATCATTGCATATACTCACGCAGACTGAGGCGAGTCTTGAGGTAGTCGTCGTCGGCCTGCATGTTGTCGAGAAACTCGGGCACCCCAAGCGGCAGGAATCGCTCGCCGGGCGCCAGCCACACCAGCGGCGCCCAGTCGCGTATGAGCTCCGACACTGCACAACAAAACGACGAAATTAGAGAGAATCGACGAGGATTTATATTTTTATCGACATTACAGTGCGTTAGATATTATGTTATCGATTGCGCAATTGATAAGAGCCGCCGCGCACAAATTGATTGGATCGTTTACGTTGGTATATAACGGCGCGGATATAAATAACGTTCGCACGTATTCGAGCGTTCGCTACACTGGTAAAGCAGTAACATAGCTGCTGCTGATCGTACACGTACAAAGTGAGCAGTAAAGTAAAAAATACGACCTGCCGTTAAAATCGCGGTGAAAACCATTAGCAAGGTTCGTTACGCGCTCACGCGTGTATTTTTCATCCACGCAACGATGAATTTTGCGGAAATCGATCTTTCGAAAGAATTGATTGGATCGCACCTCGCGATGGTTATTTAAATGATTGACGAAGTTGACTTTAGCCAAGTTTACTCTTACGAGAATACAATTTGCCATAAATATTGACTTATTTTTAAGAGATGTAAAGGTTTTAAAAAAAAATTGAATTCTTATTTAAACTTGCAAAACTGTTTTTTATCAAAAGCTTTATTGATACATACTATTTAAAATTTTGTACATTGTCCAATCTACTTTACGAATGTAAAATTATAATACAAAAAAACCTACATTTATGAGCTCTATTTTTATTTGAACTATTCATTCAAATTTGCGTCCAATTTTCTATATTCTAGGGAAAATGTAATCTGCTAAAAAAATGTACGGATAACCGTCCTTGGTTCCCCAATGCTGCATCGATGCGTTCGTTAATATTTTAATTTTTTTACAAAACATCTGCTGTCGATGAATTTGCTTTTCTAACTCGATATTTTTACGATATGTAATTAACGCCATTAGGCATTGTATCAATTTGCATTTTGACAATTTTCTGTCTTTTCAGTTAATGTGGTGCGATGGGACGATTTTACGTGCCAATTAAGACTACTCTTATACATAAATTTCTTTTCACAAATATCGCATGCATGAGTGGTGCCACCTTGGTGAATTTTGTCAATGTGTCCTTTGACACTTCCTTTTCTTGTGAATGACTTTCCGCAAATATTACATGCGTGTGTGACACCGTTGTGTACCTCATCGATATGGTTTTTGAGACCACACTTGACTGCAAATTTCTTCCCGCATATATCACATGCATGTTTGATATTATCAATATGCATTACATCGATGTGGATTTTCAGATAGCTCTTTTGTGAAAATGACTTTCCGCATATATCGCATGCATGTGCGATTTTACTGTGTACCGAATCTATGTGTTTTTTGATATTATTCTTTGCTGTGAACGTCTTTTCGCACATATTACATGGGTGAGTTATCTTATTATGCACTGAATCCATGTGCTTTTCGAGATTACCCTTTGTTGCAAATTTCGTTCCACATATATCGCATGGATATCTGATACCTTCATGGACTGATTTGATGTGATGTTTAAGACTTGGCTTATGTTTAAATGTCTTTTTACATTTATGACAAGAAAAAGTAGCACCTTTAGGCCTCGTATCAATGCTGGTTCTCGATTTCTTTTGCCCACCTAAATCGTCATTTGTCACCAAGTCATCGGGGTCATCTTCCACAGGTTCTTTCTTCACTTCTACAAAACTTTCTTTTTTAATATTGTTTTCATCTGTCCAGCGTCTGCTCATATCCTGCAAATAATTTTCAGAACTATCTTCAATTTTCAGCCCGGAATTAAACTTAGGTTTCTGTTCGCGGCATTCGAGCTCGATCCGCAAATCTTCGTGTTCATTTTCTCGAGTTTCATCACATTTTTTAAACCTGTGAGTCTGACATAAAATCGAAAGTTCTGTAAAAAAATATCATGATAGCTATAGCATAAAATTATTAAATTCTCACTGAATTCTCTTGCTTAATTGTAAAGGTCTGAACGTTTTGGATAGTGGATGTTTTTTCAGTTACTTCATGACCATCATTCACTGTAAATAACTCGTCAACGGGCTCGTCTTTGATTCTGGAAAATATCCGATAAATTTAATTTCCATGTTACAATATTTTTATGCTTTCGCTTGTACAATGGAAATTACCTCGCAGCAACGTTGAGTAAACTGTAAGAGTCCATCTTGTTACCATCAAATTCCATACAAGACTAATCTTTCTGTACTAACGTTAACCAACATCGAATACAATAATATTTATATAAGGCGATTTGAAAATTTATTTACTCAAATTCAATGTAAATGCGAGAAAACGAAATTATTTTATTATTAGAGAGAATCTAGAGATTTCTATCTAATAAACAATTAATATATGATACAATTAATTGTATCATCTTTATGCATCAAAAATGTATGGCAAGCTTTTGCACTTCAACCCTGTGTAGTCTATTTTGCTGTAAAAGTTGTAATCTAGATGATAATTTGAGAGCAAGTCAAATGACTTTTACGTCAAAGACTTTTGGCTATAATTTACAATCATTTGTTAATTAAAACGTTATATTAATATTACTTTTAATTTGAAGCTCAATGTTAAAATAAAGAGATTCGAGCGAAAAATTTTAAATTACATGTTTGAAAAAGAATTTTTACGTGATTTTAAAAGCTTCGAAACTATTATTATCATGATTAATATTATTATAATTATTATTATTAATTATTATTATATTATTATGATTATAATGATTACTAAATGATATTATGTCATAAATTATCAAGACAAATCAAAGACGTATAAAATATTTTCGTTCACTCCACCAATAAGATATATTGCGATATACATCAAACAGCTGTTCAGCACGCATCGATGATTTCTTAATGTTTTTTTTTTTCATAACACTTTTCGAGCTTATCGCGATCGAAGAGACGTTTCCGCGGAATCGTCGCGACCCGCGAGTAATTTTTAACGCGGTCAACGGGCGAAAATTCGCGTTTCGTGATCAGGCGCTCAGCATCGCCGAGGAGCTCGAGCGCGCCGCTATATATACATACATACATTCACGTATATAAACGGCATGTTTTGTTTACGTTGTATGTATATAGCGGCGCGCCGGCAGAAGCTTGCTTACACAAGTATATACACTTGTAACGCGTGTATGCGTAAAACTCACGAGTTTTACTCATTTGAATGAATTAATTTCTTATAGTTATCGGCGGAAAGAAAGAAAGACAGAAAGAAAGAATAATAATAAGGAGGGACGACCCCCCTGCTGGGGTGCCTCGCTTTGCATGATATATAATTGCTGAAGAAACATGAGGTCGACACATGTATCAGGTTCGCACGCGGCCCGAGAAGCTGGCCGCCCTCTTATGCCCCGTTCAACTCCCCGCTTTATACATTCTTCATCAAATATTTGTGTATATACGCCAGAATAACACAAAGGCTTTTATATACGTATGTGACGTTTGCGTGTATTAAACGCACGATATCGCTTGGAAGCTTCTGCTCTCGCGTGTGTGGGCTGTGTGCGCGAGTAAATGTATTTTATCAGCTCGAAGCTTCGAGCTTGAAGTGTGCGACGCTATTCTCAGTTTCGAAATAGTCTGGCCTCGTTGTCAATTTTTACTTGGTGAGTTGTTCAAAGTATATAATAAATCACCACCATTGTTCGATATATATACTAATCAAAAGTTTTTTTGTCACTTGCGATTTTACGACACTCCATCTGTCGATGGAATCAAAAAGCTCATGGTAGGAAAGTGACAGCTCTCATTTCAACAAATCTAATGATAAAATCAAATGAAATCTAAAATAATTTTCATTCAAAATTTTCATACAAAAATATAATTTATTTTTTAAATCAATAGATGAGCAACTGTGTTAAAATAGCTAGTCAGTTAAACTTCAATGAAACTCGACAAAAATAAAGTCTAAAAAACTAATTAGTTCAATTGAAAGGTATTAAAAAATGAAAATGAAAATTCAACCAAAATGGAAAATGAATCCTAAAATTTCACTTCCGGCACTATGATACTTGTTAAATAAAATTACTAAAAATCATTCGATTAAACTTATTAATTTAATTCGATTCAATTCAAACACATTAATTTACTTCGACTCGAGTTATTTCTATGAAGTTCGTTCAAGAAGAAACAAAAAAAAAAAAGAAGAATAGCTTCATTACGGCCTGGCGCGGCTATATACCCTGCGCTCCTTATTTATTTATTATGCAGAAAAAAGTGTTATGCCGGCATAATTAGTCGACACACAGACACGTTGTGCTGCTGCTGTTGTTGTTATGTTGCAGTCTACTAAGCACAAACGCGCCGCACTCTCATATATAGTAGGCGCAGTATATAATACACACAACCTCGAGTATGTTTTTCTTTCACGCGTGTATACGTATATATACATGCATATAATACAGACGCGGACTTGCATAACCGTGCCAATACTCGCTGCACTCGAGAACACATCTCGCCGCGTTTATATATATAGCAGCTCTCAGCTGATAATGTTATAATCATCGATCTCGCACCTTTTCCGCCTTTTTGCCCGCACACACACATAACTCGCGATCCAGCATCGATGCGATTTTTGCATGTATAAATAAATAAATAAATTGAATAAAAATGCGTACGTAATCGTTGGGTAACCCCCCTTGCATCGCCGAGGAATTTCATGTGTAGCGAATTCGCTGGCTTGCCGTAATACAAACGCGGAATCCAATGAACGATATTTTTTTCGTTCTTTCTTTCTTTCCGAGGCTCTACTTCCGCCTCGTATGCGATGAATTATAATTGTCTCTATTTTTTTCTCTCTGTCTGGAAACAATGAGCCGCGTAGAGAAATAATGATACCGTTGTGAATTTTTTTATTATATATATCAATTCATAATTCTGCATAAAATAAAACGAGGCAGAAATAAGGATGAATGATAATAATAATAAATATATATTACACATGTAAACAGCTCTCACCGGCACAATGAGCATTTAAAATAACGGTATATACTGTACAATCGAACGACAGCAGCAGCGGCGGCAACGAGCTGTGTATAACACAGGCGCGTATCGATATGTTTGTGCTTTTTTTTCGGGCCGAAAGAAAACTCTATACTCTCGAGAGCCGAGGTCCTAAACAAACTTGTAAAACTTTCACACATCACAAAAATTACTCATCTTACGTACACACATAATTTTAATAATATAAATGGTATATATAAATGTATGTACGTAAGGCGACCTGACCTCGTTCGCGCCGCGGCCCCGTCTCGTTTTTCTCTCCTTTTTCCTTTCCGAATTCTCGAATATACGCGGCATCCTCCTCCTCCTCCTCCTCCTCTTCCTCTTTCTTTACTTTTTCGCGCCGTTCGATCGAGTCGCGAGCCCGATACAATAACCCAGTGACCGCTATGAGAAATCGAGTACGTACTTAATGTCTACAAATGAACCTCGAGGAGTCAAGCGAAGTAAGAATTATTTAAAAAAAAAAGCTGACCTCGAGCATCCTCGGCGCTGACGTCGTTGACGCTCAGCAGCAGCAGGATAGCGCAGATGACGACGACAACGAGACGAGGAATCTTCGCGCGGCAATGGTATAAGCTGTGGTGGGCAGGCAGTCGATGACGCTGCCGCATTCTCGTTGGAGCATTATTGCGACCGGTACTCGGCCGGCGTGCTCGGTCGATTCCTTTCCCGATTGTTTATATATACGTAAGACGAGTCGATGAACTTTTTCGATGAGCCCGACACTTTGTTCTTTAATTTTTTCATAAACACCATAAAACTCGACATACAGGCCTAATAAATATAGCGACACGAGCACTTCATCTTCAGCCGCCGACGACGACGACACCTCGACCGATCGACTCGCGCCGACAACTCGCTTGCACAACAAACGGACCCGAACTGTCTGTTAAAGCTCGCGTCGAGGCCTTCTTAGGCTGCTGCAGCCTAGCACGCGCTCGGTTGAGATCGAGGGGCCCGTTTTTCCCACCTCTCGTCGTCGTCGTCGTCGTCGACGGGGCCCCATATATACACATACAGTCAGCCGCGCGCACACACGTATGAAAGTGCTTTTGAATGTGTCGCAGCGCACTACACACACAACATGTGAAAGAGAGAGAGAGAGAGAGAGAGAGAGAAAAAGTGAGAGAATTTAATTCGCGCGCGGCAGGTATTATATTGGGAACACGTGGCGTGGTATACTTATACACTTGCGACGCGACTCGCGATCGCGTGGTAATTTTATACACACACACTTACAAATCTACTGTACAAATGCCAATGTAAACGCACACGTGAGAAATGTGTCTGATTTTAATTGAATAAAGTGGGTTAGACGACAAGGAGAGGAAGAGAAGAGGTCGAGCACGCGACCGGCGGGGGCCGTCATCGTCGTCGTCTCCTTCTTTTTCCCGCAATTTTTTTTTTCCGTTTCCAGCAAAAAAATTAAGATTAAAGAGGATCGTGTCTCGAGGCGGCCCCGGAATCGTCCGCGTCGTCGTATTATTTTTTTTCGCGCACACTCGAAGTACGTGTACGGTTATGAAAGTCACAATTTTACGCGCGCTACGCTTTTGAATTCGGTTGTATTATACACAAATTGGGTATAAAGGCTGCTGTACATATAAGAATTCATGCGATGATTGATCACCTCGCACGAATGTGCGTGCTGAGTGTGTCTGTGCGTGTATATGACGCTATACGACGACGATCCGTGCTGTTATATGAGAAAGTACTTTCTTTTTTTGCGATGCAAAATTTCGCACGCACCTCGTCATATCTTCGCCGTGAAGAGGTACCGTACATTATAACGAGTGACTCTCCTTCGCGATACACATTAAAAATATTATAAAAATTCGTTGCGTAAGAAAGCGGTGCCGCTTCGATCGCGAAAGATTCGCCGCAGGTGAGCGCGCGGTGCGTCTAATTCGACGAAATTTCCGCGGGAAGAGCAGCAGCCGCGGTATAGTAGTAGCAGTGACGACGTCGACGAAAATGGAGTGCAGAAAAATCGGATTGCCGATTTCACTCGCGCGACCGGTTAGCGGCTGCACACATACGTATACCCACACACGTACATATGTGTGTGTTTGTATGCAAGTGCGAGTGCTCTCATTCGGTGCACGACATTGAAAATTTTCGGTTTGCACCGAAAAGATCGGTTGAAAGATCGGTAACGAGGTTCTCCGATTCACGTATGGAATCGATCTGCAATTGGCTCAAGCCCGATCGATAA